ACTGGAGACCTCAAAAAGAAGAATTCAGCTGAGATGTACTCATTCACCAACCCAAAATGAAATATGTTAAATTGCTTTGAGGATGCTCCTTCGCAAACTTGGAGTAATTCTACAGCTGGACTATGGAAGACAGTTTATGCTATGGTGCTACATAACCAAAGACAACTTTTATTTGAATCGCTTTCAATCAAGTATCTTAAAATACATCAATGTAAACCACAAATACAGCAATAATGTGAGTGTCCAGCAGAGGGAGAGTAACAGGTCAGAAACACCATTTGTAAATAGCAGCCTTAGAACAAACAAACCGGCGAAAAGACTTTTCCAGGTCAAGGTATCTTAGTTTGGATTATACCTGGTCTTGTGCAAATATAAAAGCCTCTTTATAATAAACTTATGCTTCCACTAACACCAGCAAAGCTTAGGATAGCCTTAGCTCCTGAAAAAGGCATCATGCTGAAACTGTTTTTTCTCTAGTGCTGAGCTGCATCTCCACAGGCTACCTGAAAGAGAACTTGCCAGAGTTTAAGAATATTAATTTATAATCTCCTGGCACCTAATCAATCTTAAAATAGTTCAGTACTTTCAGTTCTGTGTCAGGCCTCATGAATATTATGAAAGGTATTTAGAAAAATTCTTGCACAGTTTTGCTTCAGGAGACATGTATCACATGTAATTCAACTTTTCCACAAAAAACTTCCTGATTTCACTCCACCTGCTTTTTCAAAGTAATGCTAAACTTGACGTTTAAATGTCTTTTGAGATTGTTTGTCCACATTAGTCTCAGATAAAGAGCAATGCTTCTAGAACAGCACTTTCATAGCTGAGCAGTTTCCTGTATTTTTCTTTTAATAATTTACCTTGCAACTCTTGTATTTTCTTCCTCCTAGGTAAATAACTTGTTCTTTTAGCTTTGTTTTTAAAGACTCACTCTGACTTCAAAGCAATTCTAAATATCAGGCTACTCACTTAAGTGCATAACTAATGTACATATTTGAATAACTTTTAATTTCAGGGCATGGCTCCCAGTGCGTCAGTTGAATTTCAGCTTGCTGCCACATCAGAAAGGGAAGTCTTATTCCTTCCCTGCTCTTAGTCTCAGCCAAACACTTCCCATTTTGCAGCAGTTCAGGAGCTTATCTGATCTCAAGGTAAACTGAGTCAATTCATTCGTAATCAAGGCCAGGCTGGACAGGGCTTTGAGCAACCTGCTGTAGTGGAAGGTGTCCCTGCACATGGCAGCGGGTTGGAACTGGATGAGTTTTAAGGTCCCTTCCAACCCGAAACATTCTGTGAGTCTATGATTCTATGTAACTCAGCACCCTAAAACCATTCTCTTTCCCCCTCAGACTGATGCTATTTTATGGAGTTTAATAAGCATACCTGTTTGTTGGTGGTGAGCTGTTAATTTTTTGAATATGTTAACATGTTTGAAACCTTTCAGTGAAATACATATTTCTTCTTCTGCATCAGGTCACCTAACTAAACCATTGTTATTTCATGGGTGTTATCTGTTAGGGTGTAAAGTGCTTGTGAGAACCTTGGATGAAAGTTAGTACTGAAGTACAAAATGCAATATCCTAATGTCATATGAAGGAGGACCTCCATTTCACTGCTATAGGACTAACTTTTCACAGGCTGCAAATAGTTGTGAAGCTACCTTGAGATAGCTTAATGTACAAATATGTTGCTCTCACTCTAAATGAAGTCTTGTTCCTCATTCTTACTTTATACAAGCTCTGACATTTGTCAAACACCTCTTAAGGGTTGATTCATCTCAGTAACCCAGGAGGGAAAAGAAAGTGAATTGTTCTGTAGCTATATTTAATGCGATAGACTGACTCAGCAAAGGGTCTAACAAGAGCTAGAAGGCAGCGGGAGGACAGGTAGAACTGCACAAGGTCAGGTAGAACTGACAGTTTCTCTGCACCCCAGTCTCCACAGGTTAACCCTGAGGTGGTCCAATCTTGTCTTTCCTAAGTAGCGCTTTGATAATTAAAGTCAGTCATGATGTGATGATGGATTTATATGGGTGGTTCTTAATAGGAAAAGCTTTTTAGTTTTTATTAAATTAAGAGATAGTATATTTATTCTAAACATTTTGATGCAGAAGAGATTTAAACAAGAGAAGCTTTTATAATGCTTTAAAACCTCAAGAGAACATAACCATTTACATTCCAGTAGGTATTTCGTGAGTAATTTACCATGATTCCACTTCAGTTTTGAGTGCCAGCTGTTCCTAAGTGGAAACACAAACTACAAGCCCTGCTAAAAATTTAGCGTTTGAGTTTACACAATTCCTGGCAGCCTGCAGAACAGGTTTGTGCACTCTGAAGGACATCTGGCGTCTTCTGAAATTATTTGTGGACTAATTGTTTATATCCTAGCAAGTACCTAGGGAGTAAGTACCTGTCAAGGAAAGAAGGAATGCTGGGTAACACAAGTAATTTTTCCCCCTTGAAATGAGTGGTAACACAGAGTTCAGTACCTCTGATCAAACTCATGTTTAGGCCCACTCCCTGCACACACATCCCAAAAAAGAAGAAAGTATTATCCTGACTGAGTACTTTAAGAGCTGGTAGAATGAAGCTCCATTTCAGAAACCTTCAGGAAGCATTTTTAAGTGATGCCAAAGTGTACGGAAGAATTGCTGCCTACATGTTCTGTACGCTGGTAGTCTTTAAGTCTTAATTGCTCTGGAAATCTACTGCCTGCCTCCAGTTAAGCCTTTCCTGAGTTGTAGGCCGTGTCAAGGCTCAAACAAAAAACTTGCAATACAGCGTTGCAGTCATTATAAACCTGAGCTATGAAATGCTCATAATGCTGGTAAAAAGTGTGGAATAGCTATCCACTCTGTCAGCAGAATTCACGACGCTTGGTTTCCACTGGATTTTTATCTATTATTCAGCAGTAGTAACCCATGAGCTCCTTTGTTCCAAATCGTGTTACCTTGTTTCCATACTAAATGAAATGTATCAGATGCCTAGTGGCTAATAAATGTCACCTAATAGCAAAGGTTAGTATTAAAAAAAAAAAAAAAGGAAGAAACAAAATACCCCAAACAAACTAAAAACCTATATTGAGGTGTTCTGATGTGTTCCTTATGATCCTAGCTGCTAAGGAAACATATTTCTTACTCCTGTAGCTTTACATCTATTCTTCCACTATTCTCCTGGTAAGAAGGGATCATATCCTATTCCTGCTTTATCCCAGCCCTCAGAGGGACTGCATATGATGATTATTATTTTTATTATGATTTCCACACACAGCTTAGAAACTTACCTGTAATTTAACGAAATTCTAAATATTACAACAGTAACACAGGTTACTTGTACCTCCTTAATTGTACTTAACTTTGAACAGCAGAGGCCATAGCAATGTGTGTCTTAAATCTGGGAAGGAACTCTGCACCAGAGAATGACCAGAGTGGTTTTCACAAGGTCTTTACAATTCATTCTTTAGGATCTGGTGAGCATAAGCTCTTGGTGCTTCAAGGAGACTTCCACTAGCAGAGGTGCATAGTCTTTCACTGTCAATACATTTTTTTCTTTCAAAATTAATTATCTGTGGTGTTGGTAGGGATATATTTTTTTTTTTTAATTTACTTCAATAAATGCTGCCATGTGCACTAGTGTTTTCTCTGAATATGATCAGTTGGACACACATTTTTCCATCAACATGTGAGCATTACCAGCCATGTGGAGTTTTCTGCTTGTCAAGGGTGTACATGTTTCTGCTGGTGTGCAGCCAGAGACCCTCGCACTCTTGTGTCAGGATGATGTTACCTAAGTGCCACCTCGGGAGAGTTTGTGTAGTTGTCCAGCCAAAACTGCTGGATTTTGTGCTGAATGGAGATCTCTACATTCCACTTCTGTTTTCAAAACAACTCGGTAAGCTGCCTCACAGTGTTCTAATGTAAATAAGCTGCAAATGACTCAGTCCTCACATGTGAGCGCTCCAAGAAACTCCCTTCTCTAGCTTCATTTAGTTAAACACACTTTAATACTGAGCGTTACAGGATGAAGTGCTGCCACAGCCTCGTGCAGCCTACTAACCAAAATCTGCTTGCTTCCCCTCTGTTCCTCTCCATCTCCTCCAAATACACTTAACCTCAATGATGTGAGGGTTTGGTGGTTTGGGGTTTTTTAAGGTCTATCAGTCTTACCAGTCAAGGGCCTTAGTACTTGACAGGCCTTACTGAATTTGGTTTAACTGGATTGTTTTAAAACTGATATTAACCAAGTCAAACTGTGCTGTAAAATTGCCAAAATTGGAATTTTTAACGCATCATGATAACTTACAGCTGGACACAGAGAAATGTCCGCTCTCCCCTCACGTGAGACAAATGTGCTCACAGATCTTCCTTTGGAGGCGTGCTGCCCCAGCGCAGGGGCCATCGCTGCACCGTCACTGTGCCCCTGTGCTTTCCAGGACTCGGTAAGTGCAACTTTGTATAGATAAAAGCTGGAATACGCACACCTTCAGCGGCTGAGTCCTTATGGAGGCGGGAAATCCCGTGCGGTGACACCCCCGCCAGGCCCGCCCGGGACGGGTTCATCGCTCCCGGGAGGCAGCGTCCCACGGCTGCAGCCCGTCCCCTTCTTGTGTGGGGTGAGGGAACGGGAAGCATTCCCCCCCCGGCGAACTGCGCTTCCCAGAGACCTGCGGGACACGACACAAGCGTCCCCGGAGATAGCCCTGACGCCCAGCCTCCTGGGACGGGTAGTTCTTGTCCCGCCTCAGGCGTTCGCGCCAACTACATGTCCCGTCCTCCCCCGCCACGAAAGTGGAGGCGGAAGCGGCAGAAGCGACTGGCGAGCGCGAAGGCTGACAGGAATTGTAGTTCCTCCATGCGACTAAAATGCGGGGAACTACAATTCCCGTCTCTACCAGGGAGGTGGGAATAAGGCGAGCTCTCGCAAGGCACGATGGGTATCGTAGTTCCCAGTGGCGTGGCTCAGACGTGCCTCTGGATGAAGCCCCGGAGAGCTAAAAACTACCAAGATGGCGGCGGGGATGCTGAGGGGAGGAGGCTACGGGAGCCCCGGGAGGCCACACTGCGCCCGCGTCGGGGTGGTGGAGTACACGCGGAATCGCCGGAGCGAGTGCTGAGTCGGTGCCGCCGCCGGCTTCCCCCTCGCCCCGGACGCTGGGAGACGCTTCGGGGCCGCAGAGGCTTGTGGGGTAGCCACAAAATGGAGGCGAACGGGAGCGGCAGCGGGAGTAGTAGCGACTCGGCTCCCGACTGCTGGGATCAGGCGGACATCGAGCCGGGCAGCGGCGCTGGCCCGGGGTCCGCCCCGCCGGCTGCGGAGGCCGAGGCCCAGCAGGAGCTGCTCGGGGCGGCCTTCAGCCGGCAGCTGAACGTCAACGCCAAGCCCTTCGTGCCCAATGTCCATGCCGCCGAGTTCGTGCCGTCCTTCCTCAGGGGCGGCCCGGCGCCCGGCCTGCCGCCACCCTCACCCCCGCCTGGCCTGCCGCCGCCGCCGCCCCACGGTAGCTGCCGCGTCGGGACGGGTGGGCGCTGGGGGCGGAGGGATGGGGGCCATGTTGGAAGGGCGCGGGGCCGTGCTGCGAAGGGGCCCGGGCGGAGGGCTGCTGCGCCCCACAGGGAAGGAGTTGAAGGACCACGCGGGGCTGGTGCGCGGCGCGGAGGGCCTCCGGCGGGCGGGCGGGGGAGACGGGCCGGGGTGGGAAGCGGCCCGGGGACTGGGTGGGTGAGGCTGGCGGGGTGCGGGCGGTGCGGCAGCGTTGAAATGGGGCTTGAGGGGCCGGGGGTGAAGCGGCCCGGGGGTGGGAGAGAGGCCTGACCCAGCGGTTGCGGCCCCCGGTGCTAACCGCAGCAGGAGGAGTGAGGGCAGGTGCGGATGGGGAGCCGCCGACCTTTTTACAGGAGAGGGGTTTGGGGGAAGGGGCTTAAGGCAGCGAACGCCGGGCAGAGGAGCCTGTGGGGCACAGGTGAGGGGTTGGTTGCAGCGTCTGATGCAGCCCTGAGAGCTGGGGGGCCTTGGGAGGGGGTCTGCAGGCCGCTGTAGTACAGCTGGCCCGGGTGGGGAGGCTCTGCTGGATGTGCCCTGGGAGCCCAACCCGTGGCACAGGGACTGTGCCCTAGGAGCAGCAGGAACTGGTGTGGTCTGTCCGCGGATCCTGCGTACGTTTCTGTGGTACCTTACTCGCAGAGGGTCGTCCATGACGAGAGGAAGCCATGTACTTCTCTCCTTCCTAAAGCGCTAGAGAAGTTGTTGAAGATTTTGGTGGTGATATATTTAGTGTTTCTGTAGAGAACAGCACTGCTTCAGCCACCAGTCAGATGTCTCTTAAATGTCTTTTTGAAGATTACTGCAAGTAGTTTTGGGGTTGATTTTTTCCAATACAGTGCTGATAAAGGATTAGTAGGTCAGGGAGGTTTGTCCAGCTGTTCCTTCCATGGAATAACTTGAAATTTACCCTGCTTTTAATTTCAAAGGATCCTTGTGTACAAAGCCAGTGTTTATACTCTATTTGCTTTGCATATGGGAAATTAAAGGAGAGCTACTTTTTAATTTCCAGCTCCAAACTGAAGGTCCTTCCAAACATCAGACATGCAAGTTAACTTTGGGGTAGTATTTTAAACGTCACTCCTGCAGCTAAGGAGTTTGAGGCCTGGTTGAGTGTGATAGTTTAACAGCTTTCTATTTGCCTCTATAGTTTTCTGTATTCCTGTTGATACAACACAAAACAAGCTAGTATTTCATGTATTGATTATAGTAATTTAATTTCACTAAAGTGACTACTTGTTACGTTATGTTTGTCATGATTTCCTGTTGATTGTGGCTTACTATTTATTACATTCTGATTTAATATATCAGTCTTTCCCTAATACCAAAGTTATCAGGTGTTAATAGCTAAAATCTATAACTTTCATATATGAAGCTTTAAAATTTTCATAGCAGATTATTAACCTTTTTTGTGTTAGAGTAAATGTTAGATTATGATTTTTATCAGAAATTGTTGCTCATGTGTTATGCAGGCAGGACATGTGTTAAAATATACTTTCAAGAAGCCATGGGCAGACTCCTGGCTTCCATTTTGAACAGATGTATGTGTTAAGGTTCACGGGTATAAAGGGAGAGAGCTTGAGGCTGGGCTGAACCTGTGATGAACCTTTAAATAATCTTCAAAATCCATTCTAATGTGTTTTTCAGCCATTGGAACTTGAATCCAAGGGAGATTTATAACTATGTAATCAATACTATGATTGAAAACTTTCTTGGGGTTTTGAATATTACTAGAGCAACTTTGTTTCTTTTTTTTCTCCCTGGCTACTTTTGTAAGATTTCTCTTCAGGCTTTATATACATATATATATTATATATGTACATATATATATATATTTAGGATTTGAACTACATTTCCTCACCTGCTCATTATATTTATTTCTTCATGATCTCCTTTTCTCCACTCTTTTGCTACTTCTGAGGCCTATGATAAGCTTTGTCTTTCCAGAAACTAGATTTTACTGAAAGCTTCTTTATCATCTAGAATGATCAGGATAGCTTTTCTTTCTATCTTAGTTGCTGAGCACATTTCCTACATACTGGTATAATCTACCTGGTTTGAATTCACTTTGCTCCTGCATTTTCTTCAAGGTTTAGAATTTTGACATTTTATAATTAGGTGGAAGTCCCTAAGATTAAGCAAACAAAAATGTGCAGATAAAAACATTTTTTCTTACCTGGAATACTGTACTTGTTATGTACCTTTCCAGGTCTGATGTACTTTGTTACAGTAAGTAATGGACAGCCTTGTCCTTGCAGATGTTCGTATAGGGTGACAACTCTTTTCCTGGCCAGAAGAACTAGGTGGAGCTTGCTCTGGAAGTAAGTCAGAACAACATGTGATTAGACAGTAGTGCTGAATAGGTTACTTTTCAGCAACCCAGTTTGCTTTTGCTCCCACAAGGAATTAGGTGTTCTGTGACACTCATTCTTTGTTACCTTGTGGGGAAAAAATATTTCTGTTTTTTGTCTGTACAAATCCTGGTTTGTACTGAGAAGAATCTAAACTAAGCTTGATTCTTAGGAAGGACCTAAAAAGCTGGGTGTCATTTTGAGGACTTAAGGTGCTTAAAGTTAGATTCTAGTAACACTGTTCTTCTTGGAACTTTCTCTAGGTGTGAGGGTTTGTTTGAATCCTAATTCTTTAGTAATTCAAAGGGTGTTGCAGGTTGAGATAAATGTGTAGTAGCAGCATGGCATATAGAAAAATTGCACAACACTGATCTCCAGTGTGTGGCTGTGGTGGGTAAGAGTGGTCCCTTTTATGAGAACTTCATGTTTTTAGTAGTTGGTATAAAATTCCTGTCACTTGTGTTTAGACCACTGAAATAAAGCTCACAGAAGCCAGGTAGGGAACAAGAAGTCAACTTCCTAAAACTAGGGAAGTCCCAAGACCTGCATTCCAAGCAGTTTGGAACTTCTGTTTTATGTGTACTTTCTTATGATTGCAAATTGTTTATTAGGGAGAATAGCTGACCAATATTTACCATTAATATAATTCTTGCTTGCAGATAGCTTTGTGATAGAATTAGTTTGGAATTAAATTATCATTTGATTATATGTAAGAAGCATATGTTATTTAAATTCTTCAACCTAAGGAACAGATTAAAACCAGTATGTTCTAAACATTACAGCTGCAAGGACTTGCTTTTATCAAATTGTGTCCAAGTCAAACTCATTTGTGTGAAAACTTTCCATGTTGGATTCTATTGGTCATGTGAAATAGAGACTGCAGCAGACATTGCTGTAGCACACAGCCCCTTCCAGTGAGCATGTCAAGTGTGTCATGAACAAGTTTTGCTTCTAGGAAAGCTTAACTGTAGATAGTTGCTGGACTAGCAAATCCAACTAAATTAAGGTAAGCTGGGATAGTCAGAATGACAGCAGATTGTGTTAGGGCCTCTAAACATTCTTAGTCACAACTGCACCTTGTAGCTTCACTGTTCTGTAGCATCTATGACTTATTTTTGTTCTGTGGATTATTAATTTTGTAAGTGCATATAAAATGTAATTACATTTGGGTGGCTTTCTGTGGTGGCTTTTGGGTGGGTTTTTGTTTCTGTACCAAGGCATGGGTCAGAAGTGTGAAGGAATAGTTAAAACCTGATCCCTCCCACCCCTGCCTGATTAATAAGATTTCTACTGTGGAAGTTTTGGTTGGATCTCAGGGATGAGAGGAGTGAAGGATTTCTGAAAATGCAGTGTCAGCCTGCATTCTTGTTGTTCAATTTTTGTTATAGTTCTGGAATATTCACGGGATTCTTGGTAAAATTAATCACAGCTTCCTTGTATGGGCTTTACCATTTTTTTTACAATATTTTATTTTGGATTGTCTTCTTTTTAGAAGTAATTCGCTGATGACTTTGGAGCATGAGACTGAACTAAATAACTTCCAACCTGAATTGTTCAGTGATTTGAAGTATGCAGTGGTGGTGGTAAGAACAAAGTGTTATTAGCACAAAAAGAACGAAGTGTGTGACACATAGCGGTTTGTATAGAGACAGATAGTGTTTATCTTTTTGGTGGTACTAGTGCTACTGCTTCATTTACTAGCTCTCTTGACCAAGTAAATTTCTGAACATATTAATGACTACAGTTTTGACAACTTGCACCTACTGTCTTGAGCCAAGCAAACATCTGGCTTAAGATTCAGTGCCCTTTAGGGTTGCTTCACTCCCTAAATATTCTCACCTGCCTGCAGTAGTCACTTTTAAAGATAGTTACGTTAAAGCAGCTGCACATCCTCAGCCTTCAAATGCTGTAAGTAAGTGGATAAAGCATTTATCTTTCTGGTTTTCCTTGCCCTCATTTTCTTGACTTTGTAGCTACTTGGGACATCTGCATCATATCCCACTTCTTTCCCTGGCATCAGAATCAAAAGGAGGAGTTTCAGTATCTTCTGCTTCAGTTCTGAAGCCTATAATTTGCAGAGTAGGATGATGAATTACCTGTATCATCACATTCCCCAAAACTGGTCACCATCCTTTGTAGATGTATTTAAAGACTCTGCAACAGTTCGGGCCTCAAGAGATGTCACTTTGCTTGTAAACTTGCTAAGAAAGGCTTGTTTGTTTAAAACTAGTAGTCCACCATTCCAGAAGCTATCACGTCACATGGTTTACTCATATGAACGTTTGAATAGCCATATGCTGGTGATTTCCTCACAAGTAGGGTGTTGGTAATGCTACTGTTAAAACTTCATAACTAAACATGAGCTGCTTATGTGACAGCAGATCAGTATCGTGAATACCAAGTCTATGGTATAAATTCTTCTTATCAAAAAAATCTCAAGTCATCACTTGACTGTCTAGAGCAGTGTTCTATGTCAGCTCCTCTAGGCAGGTGAGCTGCACACGGTCTCCTTTAAAAGTCAGTGGAGAGAAAGGCTGTATTTCTTGGCACTGACTTGTCGGGTGATCAGATATAATATACGTGTGTGATGCAGTCAGGGTGCCAGTGTGTTACACAGATGTCCTTTGTCTACGTCTGAACTGTCCTCAGGAAGGCAGCCAGGATTATGTTGCTCCTGTTAGAATAATTCATCATTCTTGTGGCCTTTGTATGACTCCAATAAAAGGTGGACCACAGGAGTGGCTGCAAATTTGATAAACTGTCCTGGAGTCTGCATGCAGTCTGCTGACCGTGTGTTTGGATTACTGATTTAATGTATTTGAAAGCACGATGTTACTTTAAACTTGATTGCTGTATCAAAATTGACACAAAAAGGATTTGGGATAGTTCTTGAGTTCTGTTATCAATCTGGTTTTACAATTCTACTTTAGGAATTTCGGGATTTCTCTCCTGTTTTGTGATGACAAGAGAAGCAGCTGATTGTTTGAAGCAAAGATAGATTGTTTTGGGGTTTTACTATGAACAAATAAAGCAGTCAAAACATAATCAGTGAAATTTATGACTGTGTTTTGAAGAGGTCTGTATGAAAATGATGCTGAATTTCAGTACAAAAATTAGTTTATGACAGATGATGCAATACTGCAAATGCATTCTCTAGAATTGTTTGAGAATTTATGTGTAAATTTTACACTTGCATGTAAATGTTAAGATCCTGAAATCTATTCTGGAAAATCTATGGGGTGCTTAGGTTTGTTGGGTTTTATTTTGTTTGCGTTAATTGCTGTTGCTACTGGGTTATGAGAGATCTTAGAGTGGAATCCTTAACTGTTCTCATGCAGAGCTTCATGTCTTGACTGTCGATCTCAAAAATCAATTTATTAACTGAACACAAATATTTTTGGCCTTAAGGAAGAGGGGTTTTCATTATATTCCCTGCAAATCCCCATAAACTTTCTTAGACTTAGTTGTGAAGAAGCATGTGTGGTTTAGATAAGACAAACTTAAGGTGTGTCCTCATTGGGGAAGGAAAAAGGTGGGTCTTTTACTAAACTAACATGTAGTAAAATCCTATGAGTACCAAGCAAGGGCTATTTTGTGAATTTTACAAAGTTATGTTGAAACTGTCAAAGTTGCTCTTACATTGGTGCATTTCAGAAACTGGACATCCACCTGTGTCCACTGGTGAAGCTGGGGCACAGGCTGGGGAACAGGGCAGACACAAGAAGAAAATAATTTTGGGTTTAAGTTAACTTTAAAAACATCTGCCTTTATTCTAGTGATCTCCTGAACACCCTTTCTTTCTGTATATTTTAAAATATTAAATATGAAATACTTTGTTTAGCTTTAGGACCTGTGCTTAAAGTAATTTTTTTTTGTTTGTTTTGTAAGCCAGGAATCTCTTGGGGTTTTTTATTCTGATTCTCATGTTCCATGTGTTTGACCCAGACCTTTATTTTTACTTTTGTATTTTTTATTTTTTAATTCAAGCTTTCTTTTGAAAGGGTGGGAGTGGGAAACATCCGTTATATGATTCATGAAAACTGTTGAGACTGTGTGACTATTGTGCAAATATGTACTGAACTCAGGAATTCAAATCTCACATACGTAAAGGTGATGGGGATCCTGAGATGGGTGTCATCTGTTTCTTCCCTCTTCAGCCTTCCAGGAATTCCTGTGAAGGAACTTGTTGCTCCTCCAATACAGGCATCAACAAACTCACTATACAGGTCATTTCAGTTTTATAGTTTTATGCTTCTATGTTTTATAGTTTTAAGTTTTATGCTTCTTTCAAGCTGAATTTGCCTCTTTTTTTTAATTTAATCTCTCTCTCTGCTCTGTTGTGCAGAGTTTCATTAACCCCTGTAGTCCACCTCAGTTGTCAGGTTCCAGTACTGGTTCTTACCAGTGCAGCAACAGAGGGGGCTGGGAGCTGTGAGTGCTGCCATGCATAGCAGCAAATGACAGCCCCTCATCAGTTCCCTGAAGGCATTTGCATTGTGGCTCAGGTAACTCCTTGAGAGGTTACCAGTGAACCTCTGAGCAGTCTGTGCTTGTGTGGAGACATCTCTTGGCTTACTCTGAGATCTAGTAAATACTGCGGTAAAGATGGGAGTTGTCATTACTGCTTAGCACTCGAGTTTGACTTTAATACTGTATTTTAACTATCACTCTTTCAATATGAATTCCTGGTTTGCTAGCTCTACCTGTTCTATGTATAAAAATCTTACTTTGTTCTAAGATACATGTAATTATATAGCAATATTCTATTTCTTCTGTGGAAGCATTCTAAATTGTTAATGCTGAGGAGTTCTTGATTTACACTGTTTTAACACAAAATTTTAAAGAGTAATTGCCCTGGTTTTAAAGTTGTGTAATTTTTGTACCAAAGTAAAGACAAAAATTATTTCTACCTTATTCAGACAAGACTCAGAATTACATAATGAGCTTGTCTGATGGTGTGCCAGTACATAAGTGCATGAGGTGTATCCATTTTTCCCTTTGGTATTGACAACAAAGATATTCCAAAAAATGTCCTAGGGCTCTGATGTTCAAGAGGACTGAAGATAATCCACTCATCTTGTGTAATACAGCGAATAAGGTTGCAACAACAGTTCTTAACTTACAGATTGAGGAGAAATGGAGTATGGAGGATGCAATGTAAAATGTAATTGCTTTTTATAGTGTGTAAATCCAAGAATTTGGAGTATTATTTTGAGATATGGGATCATTAAAGATATGTTCTGACTTTTAAAACCTGATTTCATACAAACTACATTTTGAATCCCACTCATCTGACCAGATTCCTGTCAGAATGATTTTCACAGATGAGGGTCAAGCTGAGCTTGAAATGTGCTACAGATTGTTCTGGTTTCCTCTGGGATAGTCAGTTTTCTTTCTAGTAGCTGGTGCAGTGCTGTGTTTTAGCTGTAGTCTGAGAATAATGCTGATAACAAAGATGTTTTAGTTGCTGCTCAGTATCGCTTGCCCTGGTGAAGGACTTTTCAGTCTCATGCTCTGCCAGAGAGAAGGGGCATGGAAAGCTGGGAGGAAGCAGAGACAGGACAGCTGAACCAAACTAGCCACACGTGTATTCCATACCCCAGCGTGTCATGCTAGGGATATAAATTGGGATTGGAGGGGGAGTTAGCCAGAAGGGATGGATCACTGCTTAGGACAGGCTGGGTATCTTATCAGTGGGTGGTGAGCAATTGTATTGTTCAGGTTTTATTTTTGTTCTTCCCTATTATTACTAGTATTGTTATTATTGGTATTATTTCTATTATTTTTATTATATTTTCCTTTATTGTTAAACCATTCTTATCTCAACCCACGGGTTTCACATTCTTCTGATTCTCCTTCCCATCCCACTGGGGAGTGGAGGGCAAGCAGCTGCATGGTGCTGAGTTACCAGCTGGATTTAAACCATGACAGTCCTTTTTGTGGCCAACATGGGACACGAAGGGCTGAGATAACAACAGACCTGACTGGAGCGTGCTAAACCGAGTTTGTTGTTAGCATTCATTGTATTTGTTTAGTAGACACAGGTCACAATGTTGCCTCATTTGTTCTCAGAATGGTTCGCTAGGTCTTGTCATATGTCCTGTCTGTGGTGATGTTCATCCGTGGGGCTTGGGCTCAGGTTATAATGTTGTTGTACACTGTAGTGCTGTGTTACATGATGGAATCGCTGGTCATGAGACTAATATGGTGTGTGCGTTCAGTATTGTCTTCCTCTTTGTCTCTCGGGAGCCATCTGTTGGGAACCATCAACAATTACACCTTCGGCTGGTAGAGCCAACCAGTGATAGAAATGCCTTCCTACAGCTTCTTTCCTTGCTTTTTGCCTTTTTTCCATCCCTCCTTTTCCACCTCCTTTCTTCCAGTATCTTCATTCTCCTCCAGGATATTTACAGTAGTATCTGAGAGTTTTAAAGATTTTGAATATTCTTTAGTTATCCTTGAAACCAGCCTGGTTCTTTACTAATAACCATCATGATTTTGAATGTTTCAAAACAGATCTTCCTTTGGGTTAAACAGCAATATTTGGCTACCCCAGTCCCTGTTGTTTCAGTTTTCTGCTCAATGCTGATGTGAGTTGGAGGTGTATTAGCTTTGTCAGTATCCCTGTAAGGTGAAACTGGTAGAACCTTTCCATGCAGTTGTGATACCAAACATGTATTGTTTCTTTGGATACAATGAAGCTGGTTTTTAAACACTAGTTAGATACTAACACTTAAAATAGCCAGCATGGCCAAAAAGGGTGGGCAGGTAAAATACTATGTATAGAAATACTGCTTCCTTTAAAACTTGCTTTAAGTGTATCCTTCCCTGTTGGGGGGGGAAAAATAAGGAACTGTTTTTAGAACTGGTATGTTATTTTCACAACTTACAGGCAGTGTTCTTTAGAAGTATTTGTGCTTGGAGGTTATATTTAGAACTGGTGTTGGCGAGAGTGGTGGTGGTCTTAAATACAGTTCTTGCAATAAGGTTGGGCCTTGGTCTTTTGTGCCGAAGTGTGGAAACTGGCTACATCAAGGTATTTTAAAAGTTAAACTTTTTTTCTCCATAGGTGCACCTGTAGAGACTTCTCCAGAGGAGCAGACAGCGTCTTGTGAAGGTAATTGGGTTTGTGTTCTGATGGTACACAGCACAGCTCCATTACACGTGACTTCAAAAAATATTGCAAAGAATATTATTTTTCTTCCTTTTTCTTTTTTTAATCTCTATGAATCATTTCCAATCTTCATTCTCTTCATCCTCACACTACTATTACAATGCAGTGTGGTTATCTGTGGCTATTTACAGCTTGATAGCCAGTCAAGCAAGGCACATAAAGACCAAGTGGTTTATTGAAGGTCATAAAGCTGCATGAGCAGAATCTAAAAAATGGAATCTGTATATTAAATAGCATTGGCAGGTGCCCAAATACATGGTAAATGTGTGTCGTTAATGATACCTTTTATTTCCCCCTAGGTTCAAATGCTGCTGTTAACATGGAAATTTCAGAATCTGTTGGTAAGATGAAAATTGTTCCATTTTACTCTGATAGTACTATAAAATACTACTAGAGTGCTTTTGCTGAGGCATTGCAAACAAAATCGAAGAATACCTATTGAGCCTTTGCATTTTTCATACTTACTAATTTTCATCATGCCTTTAGATTAGAAAAGAGCTGACTGAACAGTAGTGTGCATTGACAGGTGCAGTTGGATTACTTTGCTGAAAAAGCATCAGTGTTTTACTTCAAATTAATTTTGTATTACAAAATAGTCCCATTGCTATATATGAAACAATGATTTTTAAAATGTTATACCGATCTGTAACAGCAGTCAGGACATGGAAATTGTATCTTCCTCCTTGTATTTGTATGGCTTTTGAGGGAACTTAAACCATTATCCCTCTTCTTTCTAACCATGAAGTAGCATGTGTTTGTTTATTCACACCAGTGTGGTAGTATGAGGGGATCTTCAGATTTATTTTTTTTCTCTTGTAAAATTGTTGCCTTTTTAAAACAGAAGTGTCTTAATCCCTGTGAATCATAGTTTGCTGATGTCAGCATACATGCTAGTTTGAAAGCTTCCAGTAATACTATTTTCAGAAATGAGCAGCAGTTGCCCATTTTTGTATAGAAAGACATTAACAGACCAGATCATTGAAATCTTTTGATTGCATCTTTGGGACAGGGGCTTTTCTTTATAGTCAGTGCTTTTAATTTCATTATTTATTCCAATATATCTAACTGGTTAATTTTTAGTGGAAAATGGGGAGACGGAAATGTCCCCAGAAGAGTCATGGGACCACAAAGAAGAAACAAGTGAAGCAGAGCTAGGAAGTGGTCCCACAGGGGATGCAGGACCTTCTGAAGAAAGTGCTCAGGAAATGATGGAAGAGGAGGAGGAAATACCAAAACCTAAATCTGTTGTAGCACCGCCAGGTGCTCCTAAAAAGGAGCACGTAAATGTAGTATTCATTGGGCACGTAGGTAAGTTTTAAGTGAATGTGAAGTAATTGGATCTTTGTATTGTGTATTACCTAGAACTCTGAGGATTAGAAACTAATCCTGCTCTTTGTAGGGATGCACGTATTCACCATGTCTTGAGGTTAATAGGAGCATTCATTCTAATGAAGCTGTTCTGGAAAAATGAAAAAACTTAAAAGAGGTCTTTCAGGGATAGAGTGCCTGTGTTCTCTGGGTCACAGCAGTGTCCGTGTTCGTCATTTCTCAAATACCTGCTTTCTTGAGTGCTTAAGTGACATACCTGTGATTATGATCCAAAAAATAAAATCGGAAAGCAATGCTCCTTTTGTACTTGTTTTAAATATTTTCAGAGGGTTCTTGTTAATTGTTATAAAATTCCAAAATTATTATTTAAAATATTAAATACTGTACAGATATAAAATAGTTGAACACAGTAGATGAACATAATTCAGAGTTAAAATAAGCATTTATAGCAAAATGTCCCGATTGAATAGTTCCAACAAACTTCATAAAAATCTGAAGTGCTGTCAAAAGTACAGAAAAATTATTGAATCATGAGTTTTACATTGAATTCTGTATCTTTGTGTAGTCTCTTACCACCTTAAAAGTACTGTAACTTAGTCCTCAGGTAATTCGGAATGGAGTCAGAGAGAGTACAGAGGCAGTGGGAAGAGGTAACGTCCCAGTACTGTTGCACAGCTTACAGAAGTTAGGGACAAGGGAGAAAGGAAGCAGAGAGAGGGATTTTGTAAGAGCATCCCACATTCCTTACTCACACTTTTGCTGGATCACTGCTTGTTGGGTTTCTTTTCTTTTTTTGTGGGGTTTTTTTTTTTTTTTTTTTGGGTTTTTTTTTTTATGGATAACTCCAAGTTCATGTGTATGAAACTGGATTTTTCAAAATTGAGTATAATTGAATGAACAGTAAATAACTATGAAAACAACAGAAGCTGAGAGATGACTCAGAAAGCTTAGATTGCAATTAAAAAATACACCTTTAAATAAATTAGATGACCTTGTTCATAATTTGTTTGGGTTTTTTTTCCCTAGGATTTTCTTTTAAATTATGAATGACTTAATTTTGTTTAAATGTTTTCTCTTTTAGATGCTGGCAAGTCAACTATTGGAGGACAAATAATGTAAGGGAATTTAAAGTTTTTAGGATTTGCTGTTCTTTCTTGTGAATTAAAAATACATTAAGTAAAATGAGTAATATTTTCTTTATGGCTTTAATCAGCATAGATTAATTTTTTTTTAATGATAAAATGTTACTCTTCTTGTCAACTTAGTTATTGTTGGAATTTCTTAATTCCAGCAGATCTAATCTAACTATAGGAGTTGCAGTTAATGGGGACAACTGTGCAAAGGCATACATTATTAAATGAAAAAAAACCTTGAATCCCTTTCTTAGAACATGACTCTGGTTTAGTTCGTTATTTTAAAATGCTCTGTGAAACTGCTTTATACCCTTTCTTAAGCTTTGCCTTTTTTGTGAAGATTTAAAAAAAACCCTGAATATCCTTATTCCCTGCTGCTAATGCTGTCAGGCATAATTTGATTTCAAAATATGAAATTATAATAGTTAATCTTTAAGTCTATTTTAGAAACAGTATCCAGAGTCTGTAATATTGCTGAGACAAAAGTAAATAAATGCACTTATATCTAACAGTTTATAAAAAGCTGTACATGAAGAATAAATGAAGAAAAAGAAATGGAAAGCTGTACATGAAGAATAAATGCTCTCCTGCTGATGCAACGTATTGCTATGTTTTTAAAATAATGTTCTCAGCAAAACTGGGAGGCCTTTGTCTTGGTATTTTCATCTTGTTTTGTTTTGACCAAACTGGAATTTTGGAATCGTCATGCTACATTTAACCTTGTAGTTCATACTACAGCAAATTAGCATTTAGTATCTGATGGATCTAAGTATTATCCTTGTACAAGGAGATGCCTATTCTTAACACTCCTACCAATGTGTCATGTTCCTAAAGCTTTATGTGGTCTTTCATTTTTGCAGAATATGCCTTTGTTGTAAGGGTGGGAGGAAATTGGGTGCATCTACCAACTTTGTTATTAACTCTTTATTTACTCCTATCATACTTAAACTAAGTCAGTTACTGTAATTAGTAGATCAAGTAGAAATAACTGAGGGAAAAATATAGAAGTTTTAATATAATAAAACTGTACACTACTCAACTGCTTTTCATAACTGAAAGATCTCTTTTAAAATATCAGTTTCCTTGTTTTATCTAAAGAGTGAAAACAAAAATATTTGTGTGAAAAATCCTCCTGTCACAATTTTTACTTAATTTTTAAATACTGGATTAGTCTCAGAAGTGAACTTAACAGATATAGTTCCTTTTCAAAACTTGTCTCTGTAGAACATTTTACAATTAGGCATAAAAAAAGACTTTCCTCATAGTTTTGCTGAAGTGTTACTAGTGTCATTTTTACGTATCAGAGAATGATGTGGGTTTTGTGGAGAGAAAATTCCACTGCTACTTGCATCATATTTCAAAATAATCTGTAGGTATTGTACAAGTATTTAAGTATTTGGAACCATGATTCTACTTTATATAAAATTGCACCTTCCTCACTTCCCTTTCATAGGTATTTGACAGGAATGGTTGACAAAAGAACACTTGAAAAATATGAAAGAGAAGCTAAAGAAAAAAATAGAGAAACATGGTAAGAACTTTCTGAAGGTAAATAGTGCACTTTCCTCTTTGCACTGGGATGAAAATGAGAAACCATTTTTTTTAGTCTCTGTCCCTGCAGCACTGTCTTCTTGCTGGAATGGGTTTTGAGTGTGTATGTGGGGAATCTATTGTTTTCCTCCAATACAACTTTAACTAAAACTGTATGAAATAGTGCAATTCACATTGGAACATGTTTTGCTGCTCCACTGCTTTGGAAAACTTGGTAAAAACAGATACAAGGCAGCAGCTTTTCTTGGAAGGTCCTGGGGTTATTCTATCTCTATGTCTTTAACCTGTAAAAAGTACAGAGATATCTAAGGGACAAGGATTAAAGCTGCCAGTTTGGCAGACATGAGGAGAGAGCGAGTGAATTGTTTTGGCTGTCACCTTATTTTTCTATGAATAAAGATAGGGTCTGCAGTTCTTAGGGTTCCTCCAGGCAAGATGCTGCTGTCATGTTTGGATTTTTTGTGGACCTCTTGTTTGGTTTGGATTTTGTTACTGTCTTTCGGGTTTTGGTTTTCTGTGTGTGTATACAACACATACAGCAGCCTTTTTTCTCTTTCAAACAACTGGAAAATTGATCTTCCTTTCAAAAGCTTTCCATTTTTGGCTGTGGTGGAAGAAAACAGGTTCATAGGGCTCTGGAAAAGAAGCAGCTGAAGACTTTCCTAGGGGTAGAGCAGCAATTGAGCATTCAGTTCAGGGCAGTGCTCACTCATTAATTGTGTTATGTGTGATGGGGCATAGGAAGGATGACAAACATCATCCCACTGTTGGGAGATGACAATGGTAATAAATATTTCAGGTCCTTCCATCAAAAACCCTGGACAGCTGGAAAAGCAGATTTCCTCTCCCCCTCCTCATTTAGAGGATGAGTTGCAAGAAGTGCCTCCTTAAATGCTATTTTTATTCTTTAAAATGTCATGATATACAACAAAAAGTATGACATGCCTCTGTGTCTTTATTAAAGGTCTTGCATGTGAAGGGAGCTGGCACTGGGCACTACAGATCACTGTATATACTCAAAACACTGAATAAAAAGTCACCGTTGATCTTGGAAGTGCTTAAGTTCAGTAATGATGAGGTGGTTAAAATAGTTGCACAGAAAAAAAAAGATTTTACGATGAACAAATAGTCATACATAAATTTAGTAAAATATAATACAAAAATAGAATGTTTGTGGGGTTTTTTGTCTTTTTTAGGTACCTTTCATGGGCCTTAGACACAAACCAAGAAGAACGAGACAAAGGTAAAACAGTAGAAGTGGGTCGTGCCTATTTTGAAACTGAGAAGAAACACTTCACTATTCTAGACGCTCCTGGGCATAAGAGCTTTGTTCCAAATATGATTGGTGGGGCTTCACAAGCTGATCTTGCTGTGTTGGTAAGGCTAAACCAGATTCTTTTCTGTTAGATATACTGTGGAATTAAGGTTTTGATTATTTTTTTTTTAGGTTTACTGTTATGGTTGGTTACAGTAGGCAGAATTTTCAACTCTGAAGTCTACCAGGTTGAGTGGATTTTGGAGTAACTTCACAGCTTCATAGAATTGTCCACAGGTGTCATGTGGCTTTATATCTATATATATATATCAATGCAGAAACTAATGGGTAATAGTGAGGATATACCAGTCAGTGCATTTGGAAAACTTTTACTAGTGTTAACTACCCAAAGTAATGTTTGAATAAGGCAGGATTACCCATTGCTGATCATTTCATTGAGACAGTTGCAGAACTCTTACTAAAATGTGTGTTTTTATTAGGTTATTTCTGCAAGAAAAGGAGAGTTTGAAACTGGATTTGAGAAGGGTGGACAAACAAGAGAACATGCCATGTTAGCAAAAACGGCAGGTGTAAAGCATTTAATAGTTCTTATTAATAAAATGGATGATCCAACTGTAAACTGGAGTAATGAAAGGTGAGTTTAATATAAAAAAAAAAAAAACTTTATCAAAAGATACAGAAGTAAGTCCTAAGTAATTTTTTGCATCTTATTTTTGCCGAAAGAATGGTAGACTGGTGGACTAAGGACAGAGGTTATAAAAATTGCAGGAAAACTGGAAGCACGGTGCCTCTTAACTCAGCTTGAAGTTCTATACTACTTACTTTAAAACGTTCACTTTCACCTGTTTGGCTTCATGCAGCCGTGTCTTAACAAATCCAAGCATTCTAAGAGTTCAGTAGTTGACTTGAAAACTTTACAACTGGACCAAAAAGGAAGTGACTGTTTGTAGTTTAGTTCGCCAGATTCTTGGTTGCTTGGCCACATTTCTGCTAAACTCCTAGCTTAGATTTGGTGAGAACAGCAGTATCATGTTCACCTGATGTGTCCACCCTGAATTATTTGGCCTTGTTCTTTTATGGTAAATTGAATTGAATAAGCAAGTCATATACTTAAAGTGGTTTGTGGTTACAGTCTGAGAAGGGGGGAGGAAGAGAATTTTGTGATGATACAGGACAGGTAAAAATAACTAGAAGTAATATATAATATTTAAGTAACTAAACAAAAGGATTAAGTTACTCTTTTCTGCCTTAATGCTCAAATGTTATTAAAGGGTATGAGGCATGCCCACTTATGCTGTCTTGTTCCTCCCCCAGCCTTCTGGCATCATTGAATTCAGCTGAAACTGACTGAGGGGAAGCAGTAGAAATAACTATCATTAAAACTTATGGAACTATATAGAAGATGGGAGGAAATTAAGCCACCACTAAAGTGAAAGCCTGCAGCATGACCTCAGTAGCTGTCTGCTTGGTCTGTCCTGCTAGCTGGGCCTGGATCTCAGCATAAGCTGCTGCTTACCTAGCCCTGTAATTGAGGTATATGGAGAAAACTGATGATACATTGTGGAGCAGAGGAGTGAGGGAGAGCAGACAATACCAAGTTGTGCTGCAAAACTGGGGAGAAGATGCAAATAGGCCACTAAGGTTATTAGGTTTGCTTGCTGCTCACATAATAACTGATGAAATTACTGTGGGGTTTGTTTTTTCTTCAAAGCATAGTATTATGTCATGCTGAAATAATTGAAACTTATTTAGATCTGCTTGTCATTTTTAATAGATATGAGGAATGTAAAGAAAAACTGGTGCCATTTCTGAAGAAAGTTGGATTCAATCCCAAAAAGGATATTCATTTCATGCCCTGCTCAGGACTGACTGGAGCGAACCTTAAAGAACAGTCAGAATTCTGTCCTTGGTATATGTATGTATCTTAAATTGAACAACTTGGGTATTTGCTGTATTTCAATAAAAGTAAATGTTACCTTGCAGCTAGGAAGGAGTATAGCATGATATATTGTAGCTGTGTTCTAAAGTGCTTGAGGAAATACAGTTGGAGCAACAAGAACACAGCTGTGCAATGAGCCAGATAAAAGCAGTTTCTAACTGCAGAGGGTTAAAGTTAGCAGAGTCTGTGGTAGTATAAACAGTATTATTTGGCTTTGTGCATTTGAATGCCGTGCTAGCCCTTGAATTTTGCAGTGATACTGCAGTTGACATGTGCTAAAATGAGTAATTGTTTCATGTGAAGTTTGCTTGAAGCTGTATTATAATTAGTGACAAGCTGTGTCCTTCCGTGAGTGCCATGTTTTCCAGTATTGTTCATGGCAGATATTAATGAAAATCATGTTTGGACCTTGCTTATGGTTTTGTATTTCTAAACCATATTGCACATCTAGCAAGATTCTTAAAGAAATAATAAATTTGTGTAAAATATGCCTGTAATGTGACTTAAGAACTACATGTATTTCCCAAGTACCAACCTGTCAGCCGGTATAAAGCGGACACTAATGATGGCATGTTAGGATAGATTTAAGTGTCTTATATGTCACTGTTCTTATTAATGAGAAGGAAAATAATTCCCTTTTCTGGACTGCATTTATCCACTCTGAGTAACTTTGCAATAGAAGGGTGCTCACGAAATTGAAACAAATGCCTTCTGCTCTTTTAGTGGACTACCATTTATTCCCTACCTGGATAACTTGCCAAACTTCAACCGTTCAGTTGATGGACCAATAAGGCTGCCAATTGTGGATAAATACAAGGTACAAATTAATGGGATTGCAGTATAAATGGGCTGTTTTCAGAAGGCAGTATATGGACTATTTAGTGTATTTTTAGAGGGTATTTTTTTTTCCTTGGTATATCTACATTTCCAGCTGTAGCATAGAGGCAGGGCGGGAAAGTAGGTTTTTGGCATTATATGAGACTTCTAAAATCTGTAATCTTTCATGAGAACAGTTACCAAACCATTAAGTATAGCAGTGCTAAATAACTTCATAGGGTTAAGTAATCATACATAGAGTTACATCATAAATAGAGCAGACTCTTTAGGAAAATGTTTTCAATTTTTATGTTAACTTTTTTTTGAAGGATATGGGCACTGTAGTCCTCGGGAAGCTGGAGTCAGGCTCTATTTGCAAAGGACAACAGCTTGTGATGATGCCAAACAAGGTATGGTGAGATTTAGATATTAAAAAAATGTTACTACCCTAAAAAAAAGAGCTTGACTCTTAAATATATTTATTACTTGAAATCAGAACAATTTCTATTGCTCAGTTTAACACAACTAAGCTTTCGTGTTTTATATGGGTGATGTTTCCAGGGCAGGGTGTGCGTGTAGTTCCTTGGCATTCAGAATGCAGTTTGTCTCTCCTTAGCAGACTCAACTTCTGGGCTACAAATCATTGTAATTTGTTTGAACTGTGGTTTACTTCGCATTTGTGCTTTGCATTTTTTGGCCCACAAAACCTTTTCCTTCTGGGGTTATTTTTCAAAGGGAAATAGGAAAAAAAAATCTAAAGTGTGCATCAAGTACGCAGTGTTCCAATGAAAGACCTAAGGTTTACTTTAGTCAAGTATAGGTTGGTTGTGCAGGTAGGTGGCTGTTCTATAATATAAGATCACTGTTTGGAATCATTGTGCTGCCCTGAAGAATGTGAAAATTAAAAAATGAAGGCTGTGAAAACATAGTTGTGAAAACGCAGGGGAAAGGCAGTGGATGAGAGTAGTGTGCTCAGCTAATGGTGGCATTTTCTTCCATTGGTTTCCTGTAAAAAGGGTTTAGTTGTTCTTGCCTATCCATGTCATCTCGATTTAAGCTGACACACTTTTCTAATTCTGTAGGCTGAGGTAGTTTGCTAGAAAATGTCTCAATGCTCAAATGTACTATAAAGCTACAGCTTATTGAAAGTTGGTATTTCCTAATCAAAATACGCTGATCAGACTGACTTCCATGTTACTCAAGAGCTGCTGACAGTTGAAACTAAGCTTAGATTGAGATTCTGTTTTTCAGTTTTTAAGGTAATTTTACAGACAGTGGCATATGAGAAAACTGTTTGACAATATCTGACACCCATGTGATTTTGGGTTGATTAGAGAAATGTATAAACTGTAAATGGCTGTATCTGAACAGTTACAAAATTCTCTGTAAATAGCTAGTGCTTTTGATGACACACTTCTTTCTCATTACTTTGGCAGCTAGTGAGAATTGAACTAAACCTTCAGGTAGTCAGAACAATAGACCTCCCCTTTAACTTATGTGCTGTTCCAATATTTATTTTCCATTGATAACTAGAACTATCAGGAGAGAGGTTACAACTGAGAGGAATGTGAGGAAATACATTTTGGTGTTTGCTTGGAGAGCGGTCATTAATATACATTTGGTATTTTTATCTTCTCCAGGAAGCTTTATAGAATTTTGGGGTTCAGGGATTTCCTGGATTATGTTAATATTCCGACTGTTACATTTTTCATGTGATAAGTTTATATAACAACGTGGCTTTTCTGTTCTTCTTGGATAATATGTATCGTTGTATCTCCCATCTCTTTACAAGTTCTAAACTCATTTCACTTTGAGAAATAGTGGATGTTTTTGAAATCTGCTTTCCATTGAATATATACCATAGAATTATATTAAGATTATTTTATTAAATATACTATTTTAAATACTTGTAACTCTTAATTCACATATTTTAAGTGTTCTGAAGCTCACGTAACCAAATATAATGAATTTAAACAGTAATGGCATTGAAATCCTCTTGTGGTTAAGTGATTTTGTACCAGACTAAAAATATTCACAATAGAAAAATACGCTTTTGCTTTCTTTAAGCACAACGTGGAAGTTCTTGGAATCCTTTCTGATGACGTAGAAACTGATTCAGTAGCCCCAGGTGAAAATCTAAAGATCAGACTGAAAGGAATTGAAGAGGAAGAGATCCTTCCAGGATTTATTCTCTGTGATCTCAACAATCTGTGTCATTCTGGACGCACGTTTGATGCCCAGGTAGAATAACTAGTGTTTAGTTGTGGTATAGATGGGTAAAAAGCATTAAAATGTTTAGATTTGGTGAAACGCAGAACGAAACTTCAGTAGCTTGAAGTTTCAGTACAGACTTCTTATTCACTATCGTATCTCTAAATTGCCAGTAACATATACCTGACAGTCTGACATCTTGAATTTGAGGTTCTGAAGTATCATTTATTAGTTTTGAATGTAATTTGTCAATGAAGTTTTGGATACCTGCAGCTGTGAAAGCAAGATCTTGTTATGCTAACTCTTCAGTTTTATACTTTCATATTGTAAACAACTTACGTATAAATTCAGTTTCTTTAAAAAAAAAAAAAGTGTGTGTATATTGTTCAGCTGTACATTTTAATACAGTTCTGTGTTTGATTCTTTTCTTTTATAATTGAGGAAAAATGCACTTTTAATTGTTTTACAGATAGTGATAATTGAGCACAAATCCATTATCTGCCCAGGTTATAATGCTGTGCTGCACATCCACACCTGTATTGAAGAAGTTGAGATAACAGTAAGTGTCCTTTCAAGTTGTGATGGTAATACAGACAATCCCCTTGTTGGGGTGAGGAGTTATGTCGTGTTATATAGCTGTAGAGCAACTAATGCAACAAAGCCTGAGCCTTGAATAGAATCTTTGCTCAGTACTGTAACACAACCAGAAATGGCTGCAACTGTTAGCATAAGCCTTCTGAAGAGTGTGAAAGGTCATGACTGATTCCCTTATGCAGTAAATGTTAGAAGTGGTATTTTTATCTTCTCCAGAAAACCTTGTAGAATTTTAGGATTCAGGATTAAGATTCATTAAATACTTATTTAAGTATTTTCTTCCTTAAACCACTTCAGTTTTGCTCACAAAGGAAAAAATAACCTTTATTTTAGTTTTGGGGGTTTTATTTGTTTTTCTCTTATACAGGCCTTAATCTGCTTGGTAGACAAAAAAACAGGAGAAAAAAGTAAGACACGGCCCCGTTTTGTGAAACAAGATCAAGTATGCATTGCCCGTTTAAGGACAGCAGGAACTATCTGCCTTGAGACATTCAAAGATTTCCCTCAGATGGGTCGCTTTACCTTAAGGGATGAGGGTAAGACTGATTGACAGTAGCTGCTGCAGAAATCATTATGTGAAATAGGAAATCACACATGGCAATAAGGTATTAAAATGCTAGTATGCAGTTGAAATCGCTATCTGGTAACAGTGGAAAAGTAAATCTAAGCAAATAGTTGTCACTGTGCAGTTCTTGCTAGTAACAAAGTATGTTTTATTTTAGAGGAATAACATACAGAAGTGTGCACTGTGAAACAACAAAAAATTGCCGGTATTGTTAGTGCATCCTGGAACGTCCACCTGCAATATGAATATCATAGTTTCTCTTTCTAAAGTTAGGAAAGATAAAAGGGGGGTTATATGTTGGGCTTTAACCTGGTAAACCTTGTACACTTGTGGGGCACATTTAAAATAAACTGTCTTTAAAAGCAGTACACAGATCTGCTATAAAGATTCTGCTTTGCCTTCCCCTTGAATGAATACAGAGCAGGCTTTCCACAATCCACATTTTATTCTTTACTGTGAGAATAGCAGGTTTACTATTTTGAAGATTTTATTTTCCTTATAAAATAACGCTGGTGCTTTCAGTCTACAGTACAATTTATTCTCTGTATTATTTCTAATACACTTAAGAGCCTGTATGTTTGAGGAAAGTTTTCATGTTCTTAGAGACTTTTACATTCTTTTCATAATATATGTAACTCTAGTGTTTGTCTCCTTGGTTTAGGTAAGACCATTGCAATTGGAAAAGTTCTGAAACTGGTTCCAGAGAAGGACTAAGCATTTTTCTCAATGACCCCGCACAATACTGTGAGGAAAATCGACTCTGCAAAGCCTACTTCACACCGCCTTCTTATTTTCTGCCCATTGATAAACTTCCCCCCATATTTTGCAAAGACAAATTTCACAGCAAAGGTCCACATTATGTCAGCTTTCTCATATTGAGAGCTCTGCTATGCCACTGTTGAATTTTCCCAAAAAAGAATTTTTTTTTCTCCCAAATTCTGCTTCCTTGGAAAGATTCGGCAATAGCTTTGTAAGTGATGTGGACATAATTGCCTATAATTATGAAAATCTAAAGGATTTTTAATGTTTAATTTCCCCCAGCGTATATATTAAGACCTCTTTTTCCAGGCAGATCATTCAGAGTGTGCGAGTGTGTGTGCACATGTTACAAAGATGACTACCATGTTAATAAACTATTCAATTTGAAATCTTTTTCGGTATTTGAATTGCTTTTGAATAGTGTTTTTTATCCGGATGTAACGCAGTTGCATTAGCTTTTTAACTTCCCAGTAACCTAGATCTTTGGTTACTTGGACTTTTCTAAACTCCTCAGCCTCCCCACACACACAGTTTTAAATGAGGCAATTGGGCACTCAACCAAGTTTGTATTAAAAGAATTAGGTTTGCCCCTTCCCTTTGTTGAATGCATCTTAAACTTGAAACTATTCATGCAAATGTGGCACCTTCATCAGCTTTACGTTTGTTAATATCTTCAGTAAATTTAGGTTGACTTAACATCATTACTAGACAGTTAAGTCAATTTTGATGGTTAGAACTATGTACTGTCTTTATAAAAAGTCAGCATTATTAGATTCCTAACTGCAGAAATGCTAACAACCAGTAAATCAGTGAAACTTGCAAAAATAAGAGAGTCTGTGGCAATAGTGCCTATTAGTATTTATAAGAGCTTCATTTTGTGGGAGAACTGGGCCAATTAAAAAGTGCCAGTTATAAATTACTCAGTTCACCCTGGCTTTAATTTAGAGGGCTTGGATAATCCTTGCTGTTTTAAAGATCAGTGTGAACTGAGAGGGAGAAAGGCTATTTAAATCCCTAGGAGTTTGCACATACTGAAATATGGGAGGGTCAGAATCAAGCACAGTCTGTAAATTTTTGCATATCAAAAAGCAATGTAAGCTTCTGAGGACCAGTGAAGTTTTTCTTGAGAAATTAAAACAAAACTGGTTCAAAATAAAGCTTACTCAGTGCAACTTGAAGGAGCTGCATAATAAAATCCTATTTAGCTGCACTTTGAATGTGGACTGTCTACAATTGCTGTCCTGATTCTAACAATTAGAATGAAGGCTAATGGATCTTTTGGGGTTTGGGTGTTTGTTTGTTTTTTTGGGGTTTTTTTTTGTTTTTTTTTTTTAATTTCCCAGAGTATTAGTAGTAAGTATTTAAAGGTATCTTCAGAGATTCTTCAGGATGTCTCAAACTAAACATTTTCAGTTGTACAATTGTGGCAAGCCCATCTCCTCCCCCAAAAGTTTACAGTCTAGTGACTGTCTCTGAATTCACAGATAAAACTGAACCCGATTTACCTTTGTTTTTTTTTTTTGTGGTTTGGTTGGTTTTTTTTTTTTGTTTTTGTTTTGTTTTGTTTTGTTTTTGTTTGTTTATTTCTTTGTAACTGTGGAACTCCCCTTCATTTCACTTACAGCTACATTGTATGGACAGAAGAAGTTATTGTCCTTCAGTTTCATATGACTACACTTGTAGCTACCGTAATGCATGGAATTTAAATAAATTTTATTATGTCTGCAAATCTCTGGGCTTTTATTTTTTTGATAAATCAGAGTTTAAAAGTAATTTTTTTTTTTCCTGCCAAGTGAACAAACCCCATAGTTCCTTGGATCTTAAACTAATGAAGAAATTAAATGCCAAGGAAACTCACTGTCTTGTTCATATTCTGGATTGGCTTAAGATTTCCACATATCTGACTGCTTCCTTGGAGTAAGCTCATGGATTTGAAAGCTGCAAAGACTATTTCTGGAGAATACTTAGTATTAGATTCCTAAATTGTTACACCTTTTAAATTTTTATGTTTGGTGGGAGTTTTTTTTAAAGCATTGAGAAGCATCTCAAGACTACATGATACTCTAGTAGAATTTTTCCACTTTTGGGCAAACTTAATGAGGGATTCTAAAGGTTCATTATTGTGAGGCTGGACTGAGTATTTATTATTAAACTGAAAAATTATGTGGTGAATTGAAATACCAGTAGATAGAAAGTCTGAGCATTTCCATTACTCATCCCATCTAGTACGTTTAATTACCATTTCCATAAATCCAGTTAATGTCACCGTGTCTGTCAAGGGAGGCTACATTATTTTGAATTCATTAACAGAATCTACATTATACAATTGAAGATATTGCTAACCTGTAGGAGGTTCTTACTTGGGTATAAAATATTTGCATTCTATGACAAATTAAAATGTAAGGCATAAATTACACAAATTGACTACAGTTTGAGTAGAAGAGCTGAAAGTACAAGATATTTGAATAGTCCTCAGATTACATCTCAACTTTTTCATTTCATCTTCATTCTACATTTTATAGTCCCATTTGTACTACTATTGAGTACAGCTAAATCTAGATGAAAGGAAAAAAAAGATAATGTGGCTTTGTTTGAAATAAATACTATTTGCTGATTCACTGATGTAATAAACTTTTTTTTTAAATTACCATTTTGAATACTTCCTTTTGTGAAAATGTGTGGTGTGCTGCTTTGAAGATGAAAAAATAAATAAATAAAGGAGCTGTGTGACCACTACAGCTGAAAGGAAGGAGAGGGGAAAAAATAAAGAAGAAAATAGCTGTTGGTTTGAAGCTGCAGGAACCCTAAGAGCCTATGTAACTGCTACCCTGTGATACTGGCAGAGTATTCCTAGGTCCTGGTGTGGGTGTAACTCATACCAGCAAAACTGTGTGTGTGTTTCTGCAGGAAGGAGGGATTTGGGGTTTTTGTTCCCCCCAGTATAATGACATTTCTGTCAGTCTGTGTGCAGTGTGGTACTGGTGAGGATCACATAAAGTTTCCCTGATTGTTGGCCAAAGTTTGTAGTGTAGCTGTGGCTGAAGTGCATAGCCATGATGTAAATTATAAAAACATAAATTAAAATTCTATAAATTAAGATCTTGTATGTTCTTGAACTGAAAGCCTTGGTATATGTGACAATAATTAAATGTAAAACAAAATAAATCTGAATGTGCAGCAGTACTAATTATTCTGCAACAGGAAAATAATGATTTGTTTGTGCAAGTTACAAGAAGTGAAGCACACTAAGTGGAGGAATGGGTACACCAATCGACTAACATTCCATCAACTACCTAATTGAAACTATTCCAGTTCCCTTGGTCATCTTTGCAGACAACAGGGAACCGGAACACAAACATGTCACTGGTTTCCTGAGACACTTCCTCTCGTAGTAAATTGTAAGCTTGAGCAACAACCTATTGATGATGGTGTAATAGTGTTGTAAGAAAAATAGCTGCTGTGAAGAGGTTTATCCACTGGGATATTTGCTGGTCATGAATTTTATGCCTCTCTATACAAATTTTTATCAGTGGCATAAAGAGCCCAGCGAAAATTGCTCAATGAAGAACCTCTGGTTTAGGCTACATATAGCACCAGTCAGTATATTAAAAACTATGTTAATTACGAGAAATGTGTTTTTATAAGTGTTTATTACTGAATATTACCTAAGAAAAAAAGATTGTTTCAATGTCCCGACTATTTGATTCTGTGTTACTCTAGCTTTTTGGTTCTTAATGCAGATTGTTTAAATGATGATGTTAAAGCAGATGAAATGTACTCCAGGCAAGACTGTTTTCTTCCTGAACTGATAGGTAAAGGGTCTTACTCTGTTGTTTTTGTATACCCTATAGAGGATTTGGTAAAAAAAAATATACCAACAAAATTGGAGTTACTACTGGAGATTTTATATTGTGAACCTGTTTCTTTCCTTATGTTTATTTTAACACACTGTAAACCTTACAAAACATTTCCTCTGGAGAAATGCTAGCAAGGACTCTAGTCTTAATATAAAATCGAAATTTATGCTAACAACCCCCAAATCTGTTGTGTGTATATATAACCTTTAGTAGTACATATCCTTACCTTGGCTTTCTTTCCACAAAAGTCTAAATTTCCAAGGTAAATCGGGGTTTTCTACATCTCCCCTCAGACACATACACCTAAAAAAGTTCACATACTTCTGAATAAGAGTAATAAGAGATATGACAAACAAGCTGTTGAATGAAAAAAAGCTACTCGAGGCTGTGCTTCTTTCATTGGTTAAGCCTGTAGAACTAGTGACAGGCAAAGGATTTTAACAAAACTTCGCCACACAGGTGCCTCTATTCTTCTGTTGAAGTAGTCTTTGAGTGAATAACTTCCACTGTGAGCACCCATCTCTGTGACAGTTAATTAGATTTTAGCTAGAGGCTTACACTGGGATTGCAGAGGAACACAATCTAAGGAAAACTAGTGCTTGAACTCCAAGGAGATTCTCTTCTGAGATCTATTTTGCAAGGGGCATAGTCCTGGATTAATTTCTGTATATTCTTTGTGCTAGCTTTGTTGAAAGCAGTACACTTGTAGAGACCTGGGATTTTGACATCTGCCATGAAATAACCTGGAGGAACACAAGCCTGGGAGTGGAACTTGTGGGATGCATGCTAAGGGAATCATCTTAGACCTCAAAAGACCTGTTTATAGCAGGAGCAATTGCCACTTGTACTTCCATTTTGATAGGAGAAAGTATAAAACCAGGGATATATAGAAACATCCTCTTAAATAAGTAATGAGGTGGAATGGCTTCTAATTATGTAATTTTAAATCTTAGCATTTGAATAAGTGTGACAAATGCATTAAGAGAAAATACATTTAAATTGAGGGCAACAGTAGAATATGTTTAGTGTTCAGCAATAGACATCAGTGATGAAAGTAACAAACCTCATTTCCCTTGTAAGACTATTTGTGAACCTTGGATTAAAAGCACACTCTAGTTCATATTCATTGCATGCTGTATTCAGCTGAAATATTTCTTATCCAGAGATTAACCTACTTACCCAAGACAGCTGTGTATGAGCTGTGTCAAACACCTTTCAAGAGAAAATGATCATACTAAGTCAGTTAAACCACTTTGAGTAAAATTTAGTCATGTCAGACTTAAAATGTTGCAGAAAAATATACTTGGATGAGACTGATATGTAAAAAAATTGTACTTGAGTCACCAATAAGTCCCTCTAGTTTTGTCCTATTAATGCTCTGCTGGCCCAGTACAGTCAGGCATCAAACATGCTGTTCAATCATCTCTTACAAGACTATGCTGGCTTATTTTCAGAAAGATGTTCCACTCATCTGACTTTTCTGGTTTAACATGCCACACTAGTATGTTGATGTTTTATTAAAACATGACTGCTCTAAAATATGCAAAGCCTGTGCAGAAATAGGAGCAAGGCTAATACAATTATCAGCTTATAAAACACCACAGCTGGTATCATCTGCACAAATTCTGCCCATGCTGAGAAGATTTTAATGAATCTGCCCTATTTGGCTACTCCATATGTTCCTGGCCTGTCGGTAATTTCTCTGATCAATACTTTATATGATTACATGGCAAGAAAGGACAGCTTTTCTTTTTCTTCCTAATTTATTTTGTTAATTTGTCTAAATCACAAATTAGAAAATCCAAACTTCCATTTTCAAGGGTTTTTTCACTCCTTAATATATTTTTCACTTTAATATCAATATATGACCATATAGTTCTTTCCTAAATCTGGGGAAGTCTGGAAGCCATCAACTATTCCATTGTTGCCCATGAACACTACGAGCAGAATGAAAACATAAATCATTATATAAAGCAGCTTGTCAAGAGAGGAGGGTGTTTTAATTCCTTTCACTTTGTACTGGCACACTGAAAGAGGAACTAACTTTGGAGACATCTGATGAGAAGGAATAAAGCCTTAAGTAGAAAAAGAGCAGGAAAAAAACCCAGAGTGAACGACTTAAGACTCCTGACTTCATGTGTATTTGACACCTGGACTTCAGAAGACTGGCTTGGCTAAACAGGGACCTTACAACAGCATTCCAGTGCAAGACATGAGGTAAAATCAGGAATAGGGTGCAAAGAAGGTATCTAAAAGCATTACTCAGGCATATAGAGGTTGACTTAGGAGAGCAAAAGCTCACCTACAATTAAAATGGGCCAGGATGTCGAGGGCAAAAAGAACTTCCACTGCTATAGTAGTAGCAAAAGACCAAACAAGCACATGGTGGGATGGATTAGGCTGTGATTTGGGGTCCAGCTCGGCTGCGTCCCAGGATGCGGAGAGCTGGATAAAGTCATAGCGAGACTGTCACCCTCAACGAGAGCCTGGGGAGCTTGGATCCTCCGCACCACGGGGGGGCACTACCACACCACGCACGCTCCCAGGATGGAGCGCAAGGGGGGGGGCTGCCGCCCCCGTACGTGCTCCGGAAGGCTGTGTGTGCGCAGGCGCGGTGGCTGCACGTGGCAGGCATGGCGCACGGCCTGGATCGCGCACAGGTACTGCGGGAAAGCGGGGGGGAGCGTAGCTGGCCGGGCCGTGTTGTGCTTGGCTTTAACCCCGGCTGCTGCCGGTGTTGCACCGTTGCAGGTGAAGAAGGCGGTGGAGGCGCTCTTGGCTTTCGCCAGAAGTAAATCCAAAGGAGGCCCGCTGCTCCTCAACGAGAACGAGAACTTCCATCTGCTGGTGACGGTCTGGAAGGTCCCGCGGGTGGCACAAGTTATCAAGATGTAAGGAATGCGCCCTCGGCCCTGCAGTGACAGGGACTGCCCGTGTCTTTTGGGTTGAAAAAGTGCGCTGTGCTCGTAATGAGCTTCATAGGGTGATTGGCGTGGGCCTGGTTGGTGAGGCCGCTGCTTTACACGCACACCACACACCACACACCACATTCGGGTGAGGGATGGCTCGGTTGTACCTGCTTTATGCAGCAGAGAATACCGAGTGTGTTGGCTGTCACTTGCAAGGTGTGTGCTTTTCAATTCTGAAGCTCAGGAAAAGGAATCGACAGCTTTTTTTGTCCTAGGCCATGAGCAAATCATTAGAAAGGTCCTTTCCTCTTATGATGCCCCAATTCGAGTATGAATTACAAGTTTTTTTCAAACTGTAGCCGTGCCATACTGAGAAAGTTCACACCTATTTATCTGGCACTGAAAAAGCATATTTACTACTGGATGTATTTGTGGTGTAAAGGAAGGAGGCAGGATGGTCCTGTTCCTCCCCTGGGACCTGTGTTGCAATTCAGGGCCCCTGGCAGGCCAGGTGGATTCAGTGTGTGTCTGGCTGGAGCCCTGTATGTGACTGTTTTCCTTTTACAGCTTTAGATGCTTTGAAGAGTGTCGAAGTTCCACCAAGGATATTTAGCAATTAACAAAGACCAGAATCCAGATACACAGCTCCTCTGTAGTGCCTGTTAAAGAGTAATGACCTTGCAGGGTAGACCTAGTTCGGGAAAAAACTTCTTTCTCCTCTTAGGCATTGCCTGTCTCTCTCATGTTCTCATTGTAGACCACTGCCCCATGGGATTCGCCCAGAAACAGCTGAGGTTTGCTTGTTCACAAAGGATGAACCAAACTTATCAGCAGAGCAGACTGAGAATCTGTACAAGAAACTTTTACTCCAGCATGGGATCAGAAGCATTAGCCAGGTAAGCAACTGGCAACCTCGCAGTGTAAAAGAATACTTAAATTCTTTGTAACTAGGAAATTATTTTATTGTTGTCTTTAACCCTCATTTAGGTGTTACCATGTGCTGAAGTTCTGATTGATGATTTGCAGATACTGTGCAGGAGATCCATCTTCAGTTCTTAAAACAAGTTCTGTGTCCTGTCCCTACTGATAGTCTTGAGCATTGTAAAGAAGTGCACCAAGATAGACCATCACTTACAGAAGTCAGTTCTGTGCAGTTCTAAGAAGTGTTCTAGGCTGTGTTTTCAGGTGTGTGAACTGGAGTAAATGAATTGTGTAACTTGTGTTGCAGATCATCTCATACAAAACTCTCAAAAAAGAGTATAAAATGTTTGAAGCAAAGCGTCGCCTCCTGAACAGATTTGATCTTTTTCTGTCTGATGACCGAATTAGAAGGCTCTTGCCCTCACATCTAGGAAAACACTTTTATGAAAGGAAAAAGTAGGTCTTTAAATTCTGCATATCCATTTTGGTTTTTTGTTGGTTTTTTTTTTGAAGGTTAGATTCTTCTTGGTGAAGTTTTGGTAGAGTGGGCTTGGGGAAGAGGTTGGTTTGGTTTGGTTTTGGGTTTGTATGTTTGGTTTTAATTTTTATTGGTTTTGGTGGTTTTGTTTTCTAAATTACTCCCATTTCTTTTTTAGGGTACCTTTATCTGTTAACCTGAAAGCCAAAAATCTTGCTAAGGAACTACAAAAACACATCCAGGGGACTACACTCCCAGTGACCAACAAAGGGTGCTGTTAGTAAGTATGAGCAGATTAATACTTCCCTTGAAGGATGGTTGTACCTTAACTGTAGAAACTTTTAAGTGAGCCTCTTTTATTCCATTAAGATGTGAGTAAAAGAGGTTAAGGGTCGCTACTCCAGATATGGGCCATTTTGAACCTTAATTTGTATAAAGAAATTAGTTTCACTTAATGAGCAGTTTTACTGTAAAACTTTACTTTTTGTCTCCTTTTCTTTATGCCTCAGGACTTTCCAAGCACCAGTCACTGTCAAACAGGATGTACAATCTTAGAAAAATATTACTGTTAAATTAGATAAAATCTCCTTCCAAAATACTCTATTTGTAACACATTTCTCATCTGTTGCGCATCTGAAAAGGTCTAAATTGGCAATATGAGGGAAAATAATGAGGGAAATGGGGTTGTGCTCTCTACAACTGCCTCAAAGGAGGGTGAAGTGAGAAAATGGCTGGTCTCTTTTTGCAAGTGATAAGTGATATAGGACAAGAGGAAATGGCCTCAAGCTGCACCAGAGGAGGTTTAGATTGGATATGAAGAACAACTTCTTCACCAAAAAGTTAGCCAGGCATTGGAACAGGCCGCCCAGAGAAGTGATGGAATTGCAGTCCCTGGAACTGTTCAGGGACTGTGTTGATGAGCCCTTAGTGACATGGTTTAGTGGTGGACTTGGCAGGCCTGGGGTAACACTTGGACTTGATCTTTGAAGGATCTGAGTTCTGTGATTCTATGAATATGCTTAGTAATATAATGCACAAGTAGCATGACCAAACACAGAAATGTTAAGACAGGTAAATCTATCCGAAGTTCTACTACAGAAGACTTCTGCAGTAGCCAGCTATCCTTTATGAAAGTTAATGGCAGATAAACAGGTGCTTTTAGTTTCTAGGTATGCCTGAAACCAAGTAACTTGAGGCGTGTTTATTTTGTCTACATATAAATGTTACTATTATTTTCTTTCAGTACAGCACGTGTAGGTCACACTGGAATGAAAGTGGATGCGATACTAGATAATATTGTTGCAGCAGCTGAGGTGATTGCTAAGAAGTTACCAAAGGTACTGCAGGTTGATTGCATTAAAGCCAAGTCTGTTTATAATTCAGCCTTGTTCTTTCTACATCATGTACTGGTTTTGTTATTGCAGAATTGGAAAAATGTGAAAATTCTTCACCTCAAAACACTGAAGTCAGTTGCGCTGCCTATTTACACTGCAAATCTCTCCAACTTGGATGAGCTTGACAGCCAGCCGTCTCTCAGTAAAAAGGAAGTAAAGGTAAACAAAAACTTCATACTTCCTGTAAAATCTAAGTGGAACAACCAGTTCTTTGGCGTGCTTCTATGCATTATACTCTCTGATGTGTTTGGTTTAAAAGTTTCAACAGTTGATTGCAGGCATTTGTGGCTACAGATGGGTTAGGTGCTCCTGACTTTATGTGCTTCAGATAATCAGTAACACAATGAATGGTGGAATCTTCCTGACAGATTGGAAGGCAAACTGGAAATAAATAAGTTAAACTGTAGGGATCTGAGAGTCAGTCTTGAAACTTCAGTTTGTATTGTTTGTTTATATTTGCCTTCTGAAAATGTATTCATTAATATATACATGGATTCGGAATCCGCACCATTATTTGTTGGCTAATCAGTGGCATCTGAATAATCCACAAGCTCATACACTTGTATGGATGGGGGGGCCCTCACATACTTTAGAAAAGATAGTAAATAATTAGTTACTCCTCTGTACTAAGTTCTGCTTGTTGGGTTCTTTTATGTAAAATAGATTTGGAGCATATATACTCAAAGACTATAATCTTTACATTATTGTTCACTTACTTATGAGCTTTTTCTAATAAACTGCTGGAAATATTTCACATATGATTGACAAGTTTAGGTCTGTTCAACCATACTGTTTAAATTAATGTTGCAAGACTGTCTTATTCTTAACTATATTAAAATAATTATACATTTAAAAATGTATACTTGGGGATTTGTCTGAGATATACTTCCAATTAATTTTAGAAGAGAATGAGCAAGAAACCAAAGAAGGCAGCTAAAAAACAGAAGTCAAGTCAAGTCACTTCAACAACTGAAATGAATGCTGCTGCTGCTCAGAAGCCTGTGGTAAAAGAGAAAGTAGGAGTTGTCCAAGAAGCAGATGATCATAATGATGAAGAAATTCCTCAACTTGTGCCTATGGAAATAACGAGCTTAGCTGAACTGAAGGTAATGATTTAATAATATCTAGAAACTCCCAGTTCAGTTAAAACTAAAGGTTTTGAACTGTTGAAATCTTTTGTTGCTTCTTAGGTATCAGTGTGTGTTAATACGCTTGAAGTGAACTGTTTTTTTGTGACTATATAATGAAAGCAACTGTTGAGTGTATGAGGGGGTGCTTTGTGAAGGTGGTTAGTTTGCTTTGGGCTTAGCTTTTTTTTAATATATAAGTTGTTGTGGGGTGGGGTTTTTTTTGTTTGTTTTTTGGTTTTGTGGGTTTTTTTGTTAACCCCCTCTTACAGTAATATGCAACATTAACAATCACATAATACAAATTGAGAGCTGGCAGCTTGTATGAAGTACTCTATGGACTTAACTATTGCCAGTATTGGAGAGGATGTGGATTGTGTCATTAACATGTCTGCAAAACTCCCAGGCTGATTATACTCACTTTTAACAAATATCTGGGAAAGATACTTGGATTAATAAAACAGTAACACTTAGAAATTCAAATTAGTTGTACTGCATTTGTGATTGGGACATATCCTTGAACTCTTAACTATGTGCTACTTCGGGAATACCCAAATGTAAATTATGATTATGTGCAAGCCTGCCAAAAAACCTCATTCAGGTTCAGGCTGCACTCATGTATGACAGGCCTACATTAGTGCAAGTGATGTGATTGCCAGAGGCCTGTTTCCAGAGACCAGTGACAGATACGAGTAGAGTTGGACTACATGAACTGTCCTGGTGACAGCAGCCTTTTTTCATGAGGGCCATTTGGGAATGCATGATGAACTCCAAGGAATACGAGGCTTAGTGTCATTCTGTGTGTGTACAGCTGGACTTCCAATAGAGCTGATCTGTACCCAGTCTATTAAGCTTGGAAATATGTCAAGAGGAGGACTGTGGTTTTAAGCTAGCAGAGGACAGTGACCTGACTGGTCAGGAGGATCCTTGCATCTGTCAGATCTATTTACTTACCTTTTTCTTTTTTTTTTTTATCCTTCTTACTATTTTTATGACTTAGCTATGTCTCACCTTCTGCTTCCAGAGTGAAATGTGAACAGATTATTTCGGCTAGGGCACTGTTCAATTTATAAAAAGCATTTGTCTTTTATAATAGATTTCATTGATGCTGCTTCCTGGAAAAAATGTAAAGATGTTTCTTAGGTGGAAGGTTAATTTATGTGTCTTAAATACAGGCAGTGAAACCAAGTCTAGGAAAAGGTGACAGCGTGGTCAAGAAAGTGAAAACACCCCTTGGTAAGAGAAAGAAACAACCTCCAGCTCTGGAGACTCCAAAACATGAAGCTGCAGAAGAGCGTGCAGACTTGCAGACAAAACGGAAAAAAACCAAGCAGCTCAGCATGCCAAAGGAAGCAGTAAAAGAAAAAGAGACAAAAAAGACTACCAAAAAACCTGAAGCAAAGTCTTTTGGAACACCCAAAGCTGGCAAATTAATCCAGTCAGCCAAGAAGTCTTCAAAAACACCAAAACAAGCATCAAAGAAAGTGCACAAGCTCCAGACACAATGAGGTGTTGTCTGTTGTAATACATTTTATATAGTCATTCACCGGCATTATTTAGTAAAAAATATATTGATGAAGTAGAAGACCTTAAGAAAATCTCATGCCAAGGGTTTGGTTGTTTTTTCTTTTACTGAGACCTGTAATGAATCAGTTATGTTTCTTTCTGACTGATGAGCTGGAGTAAATAAACTGAAATTGGCTTTATTTCTTTACCTTTTCATCTTTTCCTGGCCCTAACTAAAAGCATTCAAATCTTTTAAGTGTCAAAGGGCAGGGAGGGGACTATTCCAGGAGAAAAAAGCTGAGATATTTTGTAACTGATACTTTCCTGAAGCACAGCTTAGTAGTGAAATGGACAAGGACTGAAGCAAGATGCATGCATACCAAAAGCAGCAATCTGTTCAACATGGGATTAAAAATGTGAAATAGCTGCTACTATTTTTTCTTAAATTGTTCAATATAATGAAAGCAAGTTGATATCTGTCAATCTTATTCCAGACATTTAAGTCCATAGCCTGATAACAAGCCAATTTTAATGTGATTTTTAGCTATTTTTACCTAGGGTATTTGTGTGTTGGGTTTTCTGGTTTGGTTTGTTTTAAAGCACAGACCATTTTATCGTTGTATGCTTTGACCATTTATACTTTATGACATGAAGCAAAATCTCCTTACCTTCACTTTTGGGCTTTATTTCAGTTGAGGAGATCCCTGCTGGGGACAGTTCTGTTTTCTTCCATCTTAAAACCATCAAAGGCTGTATGAATTCAGGTGTGCCAGCTGCGTGAACCAGTCCTATGAAGGCATGAAAAAGATACTTTGCCAAACTGAAAGCTGATAGATTTGAAATTTTACAGAATAACCAAATTGTTGCTCACTGTATAATTGCTTCATATCCTTTTCAGGATGACAATACAAGGCAGTTTTGTGATAGGGGAGTGAGGCAGAGAAAAAGCTTATTTTCAAACTCATTTTGTGAGAGTATATTACATCTTGTGCCCTAGGGAGAGATAAGTTTGGTGTACACAGTAAGAGTGTCACAATGCTAGAACTATGACTTAAATAGCTCTTTTTCTAAATACTCGTGTTTAAGGTTATTAATAAAGATTTCTGTTTAGAGTTCCTTCAGTATTTGTTATTCTGTTGTAATTAGATCTGCCTTCTCACTCTACCAATCTTCAGATTAAGCAAAAAGTCATGGTTATTTCTTTTAGGGTTGTATATGATTATTAGAATTCCTACTACCATCAGGCTGTAATCCTAAAATTAGCTTGACTTCCTGAGAACTATTTTGATTCTAATGGAATAAACCCCTATAAACTAAGCAGCTTTATGAACTTGACTCAAACTTGGATAACTTTCTCTTACACTTGTGAGAGGAAAAAAGTTAGGTTATTTCACATCATAATGTGAGGCAGAAGTGGAACCAGAGGTGTTTTACTGAGGTTAAGTTTAAAATCCAAAAGATACCCCAAAATAATCAGGAAGAATGGGAATGTAGGCTTTTTGGTACCACAGTTTTTCTCAAGATAGAATTGAAATGAAAGGTATTTTACTCTTTAAGTGCTTGGACTGATTTTAACTATTTTTAAGAGTATTTTAGCTTGTGTTTTCCAAAGGACATCTTTTATGGAATAATGTCAGTAACACAGGCAGTCACTAACTAAGACTGGGCTTTACCTAGTCTTGATTTTGAATGTTCACTAGGAACAGTGATAAGTGAACCAAATGCTGTGATAGGAGTTTAATCTAATAGTTAAACCAATACCACTCATTGGCAGTGGAGGAATAGTCTTCCTCAGCGGTGTAATTTTCACACTGTACTTCCACACATACATGGAAGCTGTATATGCTCTCAGGCTTGTCAGACTTCCCATTGGCTTAATATTTCTACTTACTGCAATAGTGTGGTTTACCATTGTTAAACCATCTGTTAGACATAAGGGCATCATGAGAATATGTGCAAGAGAGCCAGCAGGCAAATGTAGTTCTTGTCCTTGAGGACTTGGGAGTGTTAAGGGATGTACCAGGTCACTAAATGACATGAGTGAACTGAAATACGCATCTTGCCTTTTACGTAACTGTTTTACTTGCTGGATTTTTCATCTTGCGTTCACTAGTTCCCTGCTTGTCAACCTCAAGCTCTTTTCTGACTATTTTTAAGCCAGCTTCCTCAAGGACATAGTCTTTATGACTTTGCAGATGCACATTGTAACTGTCTTGCAGATCTCTGTTGCCCACTATAATAGCTGCCTCTTGCACACGTGGAGGCCTGCAAGATGTACACTCATCTTGAGACCACCTTTGTGAAGTGCCACCCTTCTAGGCTGTCTGAGCAAACTACAGCACAGACCTTACCCCTTCACAAGGTCACACTGCCTCAACTGCAACCAGCTGCGTCTGTGACCACTGCTTGGAAAGGATGCCTCAGCTCCAGGACACTGGTGGTCACTACATCTGCTCTTCAACAGCTGCTCCTGCTATTCTCTCACGAAGTGGAGCAGCACCTGAGGAAGAGCCAGCTGTGCCAGCCACGTCCCCAGGCAAGAGCAGGAGGAAGGGGCCTGTCAGAGGGCGTCCAACACCGCTGGTGGGGGAAAGCCAGCTGTAGGAACCGGGTCTCCGCGAACAAGATGCCAGGCACCCCTAGGGCGGCTTAGGACAGGGCGGGCAGTGTCTGACCGATGCCGGTAGCCGGGGCTCTCCGCGGGGCCAGTGCTGAGGGAGGTGGCGTTCCCGCCTTTCCCCTCAGCGGCCACCGGAGCGTGTCGAGAGCCCCACCGCCAGTGGGCGTGGCCCCGGGCGCAGGTGCAGGAGGGGGCGTGGCCTCAGGGCGTCCCCTCAGGTGCGGGAGGCCTGAGGCGGCGGCGCCGCTCCCCGCCATGGCGGCCCCCGGCGGGCTCGGCCGCTGCGTGGCCGCCTTCTGGCTGGCGTTGGCCTTCGACGCGCTGGGCCTGGCGGTGCTGCTGGCAGGCGTGTTCGCCGACGTGTTCTTCTCCGACCTGCTGATCTACGCGGGCGGCATCGGCATCTTCCTCAGTCTCATCTGGTGGGTGTTCTGGTACGCGGGCAACCTGGAGGTGCCTCTGGAGGAGCTGCGCGACGACGTGGGGCTGGCGCCGCCCAAGGTCCGCAGTGACAGCCTGCTGCGGCGGCTGGTGCACGGCTTCAGCCTCCGACTCTCCAACACCTTCGCTTCCGCGCCGCGCTCCCGCGCTGCCTTCGCCGCTGGCCTGGAGCTGCAGCGCGCCGGAGACCCGCAAAGCCGCCCCGCCGACTCCGGCAGGTGAGAGGTGGGAGGTGGGAGGAGGCCGGTCCCTGGCGGGCACCGGGACTGGTCAGGGAAAGGGAAGCTGGGGCCAGGCAGGAACGTTAAGCTTGTCTAGAACTTGAGAAAGCTCTTACCTGAGATTCCATTCAAAACTTGTTCTGTTAAACCACTTGAAAAAGTTGTGGGGAATCTTTCTCCACCTAGGTGATGATAAAAATAGAGACGGCCCCAGTTTCATTGGTCAGGATACTTCCTGTAGATGTCTAAGAATGGAAAGGGCCGGCTGGAGTAGAGTAAGGGTGAGCGTGGTGAAGCTGGCATGTGGAGAGCTCACTGCAAGGTCTGTCAGATTACAAGCATAGGAACTGTGAGGTTCTGAAGTGATCCTGAAGATCAGTTACTGATGAAGAGTTACTGGTCCAGGCAGTAACTCTAAATGCTGCCAGAAGTAAGTGTAGGGTAATGAAATAGCCATTAACCATGACCTGCACTGAGCTCTCGTGAGGGGAAGCTTCCTCTGCAGCAACATGGAAAGTTTCTTTCTTGGACAATGGCAACAAAAAAGGTGAAATGCTGACTTGTGTTTACTTAACTTAGAGGCAGAGTTGTGGCTTACAGTTTGAAGCCATAAATGTAATCAGCAGTTGAACTACTTGTCTTGAACCTCAGTCATCTGAAAAAGATGTGCTACTATTCAGTGTGCAAAGACAGTATCTAGGTCCAACTGTGGAGCATGATTTGAAGATCATCAAGCCTTTTGAAGTATCCCTAGTGTATAATAATAATATAATATGGCATGTTTGTTTAGGAAGAAAAACATGCTTAATTCCTTGAAATTGGAGGTTAGGGGTGGGAAGTCGAGCTTTCACTTCACTATGTAAAGAAGTCCTTTTCTGAAGGAATTGTAAAAACAATTTTTGCACTAAGTGTCTGAACTATCCAAGGATTCTGAACATCCTGCAGTTCTGATTCACTGTGTACAAGGTCAGCTTTTTCTGCTGCTCCTTGAGACTAAATCTTGAAGCTACTGTTGGTTACTGGAAAGTTCATGTGGAAATAATCTTTTTTTCATAACAGCCACAGAATTTTCTTAAGTGGAAGTGTTTTAGCAGTAGGGAAATAGCATTAGATAACTATTGCTGAATAGAAAACTTGCAGAAGGCGGAAAAGAACAGCAGCAAGCTTGAAAAGATTTGGTACTGCTACTTGGTTTATTATTAACTATTTCTGCAATTAGAAAACAGGCTGTTGAAAATGAGTCATTCTTTTCAGATTTTTTTTTTTCCTTAAATGCATTTAGAATTGACAGAGGTCCATATTTTCAGGGAAGAAATTACAGCTGTAAATGACCATGCCTAAACTTTTTCATCTAAAGGTTATAGCAGCTGTAGGTACTGAGTTCAGTAGGTAATACGCTATCTCTGTAGATGCTCCTACTTTCAAAATGTATACATAGATGTGGGTTTTGTTGTAAGGAATTTCTAGCATTGAATTTTATTTTTGTTCAAATCAAGTAATTTATTCAAAAACGTTATTTTTGAATGTTTCTAGTCTAATTGATTTTAATTAGAAATAATCTATGGTTTATTGTTTCCGATGAAGGCAGATATATAGACTGCTTTGTTACAAGTTCTTCCAAGTAAACAGAAATTTCTAATGCTACAGTAAATGAACTCTGGTACAGTTGCATTAGTAGCTGTAATTCAGAAGGAACCAAAACAGGAGTGTATAAAAGTTATGTTACACATTGTAACGAAACTCTGATTTTAACTTTCAGCAGTTGCACCTCCAAAGGTAATGCAGGGTTTCCTTTTCAAGTAAGCTCATCTGAAGTACCTTATACCTTCTCATAAACAGCCATATCAATCAGTTCATTTCTTACTGATAGACCAAATCCTCTTCCCATCTGGAGATATTTATGAACTTAACCAAACGAGTTAAACATGTTTGGGCAGATATTGTCAAGAGAGAGAAGGGGGAAAAAAACATGACCATCACACACACAAAAACCAAAACAAAAAGCAAACAAACAAAACAAAAAAACAGACACCACCACCACCCCCCACCATACTGGCCATTAGAGAAAAAAAAGTTTCCCAAGTTACTAATTTCAAAGTTCTCTTAACATAAAAAAAGCAACATTGCAAGTGTTTAGAAAATGGACTGTTTCCTGAATAAGGAAGTTTGTTACAGGAACTATTAATGCATTCTTGTCATTTTGGTAGTTTTCTGGTTCTTGGTATTAGTAACTGTTTGAAGTTATTAATGAAATACTATATGCTGTTCCCATTTCCTATCTTAGAAATCATACAGATGTAGTAGAAGTGAATGGGAAGGGTGAGAATTCTCAAGATCTGGAGTGTTTCTATTAAAGGAATAATACGTAGATTGGGATCCTTGAGCCTGAAAAGAGATGCAGAGTATAAAAGATTTTGGAGGTCTATACAGTGAGAAGTGGTATGGAAAAGGTACGAAGGCAATGCCTCTCTAAAGACTAAGCCGGCATCAACGCATTGTCTCATGCTGTGTAACTGAAGCATGGGGTTATTTGGAATGGGGCAGTGTGACAGATAAAAACAGAAGAGATGCAAAGATAGTATATTTGGCCCAGGAAGACCTGGGGCAGTAAGTGCTGTTGAGATGATATCCTGAAGAGGTATTACTTATACGCTTGACACTTTGTCACGCTTGGAGATCAGGTGTTGACTTGATGGGTCTTTTACTTGGGTCTCAATTGGCTGTTTAACATGGGAAGAAATACTTTTAAGACTGACTTCAAATAAGAGTTTGGAGCTATATATGACTACTTGTTCTAAGACTATTTTGGAGTAACCTTTTCTTAATGTATTGTCTTCAGGATCTGTTGAAGATGCAACTATTGAAGTTACTGCCTCTAAAAGTGGAGAAAATGCTGCAAATTATGGAAAGTGATTTCCCTGCTCCATGCAGTAGGATTCTCTCATCATGGAATGATCTCTGCAACCATTGTGGACTCTCTGTGAAATGGACAAATAGAGCCATATCTCTGCCAAACGCCTGTATTTTAGCATTGGACTGTATATGTTTTGAAATGGTGGAAAAACCCCACAACACCCCCTAAGTTAGATCTCTTAAGAAGTGAGAACTAAAGAAACAAACCTGATTCATGGAAAAACCACTGCAGCATGTAATAGAGATTTTATTATTATTTTTAATAACCTGAGAATGTTCAGATAAAAAGCTCTTGCACAATGAAAAGCTCTTGCACTGTTTTACCAAGGTCTGGAAGTTAAACTTACTGTGAATTTTTATGATGCCAGTGCAATACTTTTGTTTGTAAGGGTGCTTCTGAAATATCTATGTTAAACTACCGATGCAAAGTTGCAAATATAGTAAAAGTTGTTTATAGTGTAAATAACAATTTAGAGTAACTCTTGTAAATTTTCATAATTATTTTGGAATAACTTGGAATTTGAGATTTTTATAAGTAGACAAGTAAAAGTAATTATATTGGCACACCAGTACATTCTTCATAGTTACAAGTGATGTAATATGACTAAGAAAAGGTAGTTTTAGTGCAATAATACTGGGAATTATTTTCCTAAGTCTAATAATTTGGGAAAGGGGATACCACCAAAAAAATCCCCTGTTGATTAACAGATACTCTGATGCTTTATAAAATATTAATGAATTTACACTTAGATTTAAGTGAAAAATAGCACCTGGGGAAAGATTTATATTAAAGGTAATGATACCTGAAATTCTTGTGTGGAGAAATTCTTCATGAGTTCCTCTGTTTTTGAACTTACATGAGAAGTTTGAGTCCACCATTGGCAAATATGGGTAGGTCTTAAAATTTTAATGTATGATTGGTTTTATGCCACACCTTGTCAAATACTAGAGGTGACTTTAAGGAAAATGGTTACTAAGACTACTGTGCTTGTACTTATTTCCTTGTGAACTCTTGCAGTGGCTTTCAATGTTCTCTTGTAAATTATTGGAGTAACTGCCTACTTTTCTATGCATATGCTGATTTTTAAATGTTCCAAATGCTCAGTTTTTCAATTTTTTTGTAGATCTATAACGTGATTTTTTTTGTTTACTGACTGCAGTTTTTAGGAGGTGTGTGCAACTGTTTCCTCCTTTTAGAGGAGCTGCAATGTGACACCACTGTGTTGTTACAATGGTCTGAAAAAAGAAGCCAAACCAGCTCCTTCCTTAAAGCCTATAGATCCCTGTTTCCGTATCATTTACAAAATTGTTTTTCTGTTCTGAACAGAAAGAACTGCTTTTTCTGATTCCTCATAGTTTCACTTGTAAACTCAATCATGAGATTTAATGGTTAAGTGAAATGATTAGTAGCAGCTGTAAATTAAACAGAACATTTGTGTGCATCCATTCATGTACTCAGTCTGGTGAAAATTTTAATCATAATGGCAAGTGAATTGGGCAGGGCTTTGAGTTCACTGTAGATTACAATGTAATTAATCTTTAATCCAATATCAAGACTTTATGATTGTTGCATAAGATAGTAGTTAGAATGGCTTTGGCTGTTGCAATTTCACTCAAAAAAATTACATGGGATTCAAACATTTACAACTGGAGCATTGTGTGTGTTAAAAAATTAGTATAGGAGCTGACACCTCAGTTCAGGAAGGTGCTAATCATAGAGAAGTGCTGGAATGTTACTAGTATGGTGTGTATAAACAAGGAGGTAAAAAATACTTGCTGTGGGACAGTGTAACTTGTGAATTCTGATCCCTTCTTTAAAATGTGAATGGTTACTGTTTTATGCAGTCTGTTTGCCTTCTAAATACGGAAAGCTAATACTAAATAGAAACTGGCAGCTGAATTATTAGCAGTTAAACATTAACATATATTTTAAACTATTTTAGTGTCCTGGTATCCTTATCAGTTGTAGCTCAATGCAGCACAAAGTCCATTCAAAGAACTTCTATATTGTTGATTGAAAAGCAGCTCTTCTGGGTATTTAGGACTGTTTGCTGTTGTGTGAACACAGAGCTTTGTATGTAAAGCTAGAACTCCTTTAGACTTAAAGGACAGTCCTATGCATTCTGTTGAAAAATATCACCAAAATCACGAAGAGTCAGACTGTGATTACAGGAGTGCTTTTTGTACCTGATTAAGCCTTAAAACTAGCTCAGAACAGCATCCTGTACTCCACTAAAGGAAAAAAAGCCAACCCCCTAGCTTGTGACTCCATAGAAGGATTAAATGCCTGCTGTCAGACTCTTTAGATGTGGACTGTATCTAAAAGTTTTAATGCGGTACATGTTGTTTACTTTCCTTAAATGTGAACGTCATCTTCAGAGAGAAAATAATCAGAAAACTATACAAAAAACTGTTTGATGTGACTTCTGGATGGGAGATAATTCTTGTACTAGCACCTTGAGAAGAGAACAAGGAAATGTGTACAGGTGGTCTTAGGGCTCAGGTCAAATAATGTCATGCATGGCTAACTGGCTTACGTGAAATTGGAAAGTAAATGTTTTGTATTCAACTGAATTAGAAAAAGAGCAGACTGAATGTTACTGAAGAACTACACAGGAACTGCAAGTTTCCATTTGTACTTATTCAGGTTGCTTTAAAAATTATTGAAGGCTTTTACCTATTTTATGTTTAATTCCTTATAAATTATATGATCTCTAAGCTTTAATATCGTCAGTTGGCATGTATAAAAACAAGGCCCCCAAAACGGGGCCTTTGAAAGAAACGCCGATGAAGGTTTCCTCAGCAGTGTAATTGCGTGCGTGCATGCGCACAATGCTTTAGGAGGAAAAGCAGTTACTAGCTCAGAGACGTGGAAGTCCATTAACCCATTCTATTTAGAGCATTCATCGAATGCTGTAACTGCCCGCGTTGTGCTTTAACACAGATCCAGCCTGCACGGAGGGGATGAAACACCCGGAGATAGTGCTTGATCCCTGTGCCTCTGTTCCAGCAAACACCCGATGTCTCTCACCAGAAGCAGATGCTCGACGCTCTTCAATCTCGAGTACATTGTTGGGAACGTTTAGCGTTTCCCTCCACGCACTGGAGTTTCCCATTTGAGCCCCGCACTCATTGCTCGGCGCTGACCACCGGTACCCGTCACCTGTAGGTGCGGGGCTGTCCGTGCTGCCGTTCTCCAGCCGCCCATGGTGAAGTTGGAACGGCGCTACCCATAGAGCTGTCCGCTATCTGCTCTCCTCCCCTCGGTCCTCCGGCACCAGAGACGTGCGGCCAGCGTATGGGCGGCTTTTCCAGCCGCTCATCTCTATGGTTTGAAGGGAAGTGTGCTCCCCACTTCCGGCGGGTAGCGCGCCCTTTCCGCCCGGGAGCGGCATGTGGCGGCACAGGCAGGCGCCACGCGAAGGGCGCGGCGCGCGGAGGCGCCTGCCCCGGTAACGGGGCGAGCGCTGCCGCCACGGTCAAGGTAAGGCGGGAGAGCGGCGGGGCCTCGGACGCAGCTTTGGAAGCGGGGGGAGTCTCCTGCCCGTCCGCGGAGACGGGGTGTCGGCCGGTGGCCCTCGGGGGGGGCCGGGCTCCTGAGGGCGGTCGGGTGGTCGGGGCGAGGCCCGCCGGTGCTCACGCGGCTTCACCTCTTTTCAGGCGCGGGGCCGTGACCATGCTGGGAGGGGATGAGTTCATCAGCTCGCCGCCCAGGAAGACGGTGCGGTTCGGGGGGACGCTGACGGATATCTTGATGAAGTACGAGAAGGTGAGTTGGGCTCTGCGCTGCGGGGCCCGCCGCTGCCGCCCGCGTGCGGTGCCGGTGCGGCAGTGCCCGGTGGCAGTTCTGTGTGAAGCCTCGTTTCGGCTTGCACAAGACCGTGTCTGAGGGCTTAGGAGAAAACCTGAGTGTGGGTGAGTGCGGGAGGCTTGTGCCAGGCGGTGCTGCTGTGCGAGTGAAAAGGTTCCCCTGTGAGTCAACTTCGTGGCGTCCTGGGCTGATGTGGAGTTGGCTCACGCCAAAGGGATAGCGTCTGTGTCTGCAAGGGAACAGCTAAAAACGACCCAGCTGCCTCAGTTGTCTTGTAGGGACAGCACTATGTAACTGCTGCTTCAGCCTTCTCTGAGCTTTCTCTCTTGTATTCTTCATGTCCCTGTTTGACACGAGGTTGTTCAGAGGTGGTGCAACTTGTCTTCTTTTTCTGCAAAAAATACGAGTATTATTTACTTATTTTTCTTTCCCTTGCTAGGGTGAGACCACGGATTTTGAGTTGTTGAAGCATCAGCTGTCAGATCCAGACATCAAGGTGGGAGTTTTGGAGTAAGGGGTCTGATGTTTTGAAGTTGTGTGGTCAGTCATCAGGCAGGTTGTTCTGGTGCTTACCCGGATCCTTTGCTTTAAACATTTAGCTGCATTTAACAGCTTTTTGCTTTGTGGAAACTGTCAGAAAAAAAGGAAAAAAAAAAGGGAAAAAAAATCTGTTTATACACATATATATCTTATAGGGTGTTGATAACTGGTGTCTCATGCTTTTACTGACCCTTTGCTCTAGAGTGATGAACTTCCTGTGTTGTGACAGGGTCTTTGTTCAGATACCATCTTTCTAGGTCATTGACGCTTATTTCTGCAGATACTTCTGTAGATCAAACCAGAGTTTCTGACTCAGCCTGAATTTTTACATTCTCCTGTTCTCACAGGAAGCTTTTTTAATTAGGTAGTGAAATATGTATGCATTTAGTATTTATACCCAGAAGCATTGTTTCATGGCTCTGGTAGATAGCTGTAACTAGCAACTACATTTACTTTTCGTTTTGGTCTGTGTGTGTCGTCTCCCCTTAATTAAACCACAAAGCTGTGAGAAGAGTACTGCAAAAAGCATAATACATATGGAGTTTCTTTTCAAAGAGGACGTTTAGTAAAATAATTAGTATTTAGCAGGGCTTTTGAAGTGTACAGGCAAAATCAGTGCAAAATTTCTGTGTTGATTTGCTACTGTTTCAGTATCTCTTATTTCAAGACTTGAATGTCCCTCCTGCTTTTAAACTAGCACAAGAAGAAATGAAAATTAGGACTGGATGCTGTTTCTTACAGTGGTGTTCTATGTGAGTGAGGTTTGCATGGCTTGCCTGGTCTGGAACTTCAGTCTTCCAGACAGGCTGTTGGTATAGGAATTTGTATCCATTCTCGCATTCAAGAAATTTCATTGGTGAGGACACCAGTTTTCAGCTTAAAGACATTCCTTGCATGTTCATTTGAAAAAGATTTCTATTTACAGTCTTTGACTTTTGTAGATTTTGTTATTTTCTAGTAATAGGTAATACTATGTATTTTTTTTTTCTCCTGCTATTTTTAAGGATGCCCAGATCATTAACTGGCTGCATGAATTTCGAGCATCTGTTATATATTTGACCAAAGAGCGTGAACAACTGGTCAACGTTTTGCTGGTAAATATCTGCTTGTTATATGGGAAGATAAAGAGTTTAGTACTCAAAACCATCTTTCTTTGACATCTTGGTCTTTGCTTACTTTCAGAAGCTGCCATGGTTGAGAAGAAGCCAAGAGGTAGTGGAGGAATATCTGGGTTTTCTTGGCAATCTGGTGTCAGCACAAACTGTCCATCTTCGGCCATGCCTCCGGATGATTGTGTTGCAGTTTGTCCCCCGTAAGTTACTTTTCCCTTAATCTTATTTCTTTGAGTATCAAAATGCCTTTCCTAGATAAATTCTGTATAAATACAATGCATGACAATTAATTACTGGGTTGGTTTTCTTATCCTGTTGATTAACTTGAATAGCTGAATTGTGATAC